GCAATTTATAAATTATTTATAATAATAATAAACAAGATTTTAATATTTTTTTGAATCAAAAATAAAAGAAGCTTGAGTTAAACCTTTCTAAAAATATCTTTCGAGAAGCCTGGCCTGCGTTTAATAATAAAATTAAATTAAGGAATGCAATTTAAAATTATTATTATTTTTAAATTAAAAATAAAACAAGCTTGCATTTTACCTTTCTCTGTATATCCTTTAAAGAGCCAGGCCTGCGTTTTAGTGAAAAAATCCAAGTTACACCTGGTCCAGGGTATGGGGAAAATACACCTACACACGCACACCCACAATCCGGGACACCTCCGGCAGTGGATAAAAAATTGTTTGCATTTACTTTGGCTGTCGCTGGTCCTGTTGCTCCTGGTGCTGCCACCGCTGGCTGCCTTACCTCACCTCCTGCTGGCTTTCATTTGCTTCTGACTGCTCCTGGCTGCTTCTCCTTCTTCTCCTACTCCTCCTGGTTCCTCCTGGCTCCTCCTCCTACTCCTCCTGGCTGCTCCTAGCTCCTGGCTTCCCCTAACTCCTAGCTGATCCTAGCTCCTCCTCCTCCTTCTCTTCCTCCTACTGGCTCCTCCTGGCTCCCCCTAGCTTCTGACTTCTCCTCCTTCTCCTGGCTGCTCCTAGCTCTTCCTCCTGGCTCCTCCTGCATTTCCTTGCACAAAATCCACACACCCAGCTAACCGCGTTGCTCGTTAATTTTACAGCATTTCCGCTAGCAATTTTCAGGCAACTCCCGCTGCTACTTGCTGTTGTTGCTGTTGTTGTTGTTGCTCTTATTGTTTTTGTCGCCTGCAAACCGGAAATGCAGGAAACGGATATTACACGCTCCAGAAAACAGAAAACAGAAGGGAAAAGTGCTGGCGCGTTGGTCTCTCGAATAATATGCAAAAAAAAAAAGGAAGACAGGGAAGAGATATGATGACTTTTGATGACAACGCCTGCAATTTGATGCATTTTCGGTGTTTAGACACCCCGCCGCCGTCGCCGCCGCCTGCTGCTGTCCTTAGGGTCCTTACCTTTTCCCAGGATTTTCCCTGCTTTTCCTGGTATCTCCTGCAAAAGCCTTTGGCCCCCGCGCAGCTTTTGCATTTTGCATTTTGCAAACTGAAAACGCAATTGGAGCGTGCAAAAAGGGGAGCCAAGGAACGCGAACGTGGCGCTTTAATTGCTTAGCCCATGGAATTGATGTCCTCCCACCGCCCCTCTTTCTACTCTTTTTATGCCTCCTCTTTTTTTTCGAGTGTTTACTGCAGCAGCAGAAGTGGGATTTCCATTTTGCCTGTTCAATTGTTGGGAAAATGAAATTATTGCAAGCCAGCAGAAAGGCAAAAGACTTTCGTTTGGTTTTTTCTTCAGGAAAATCAGGTCACAGCTGAAATTGTACGATTTTAAGAACCACCCCACCTATAAAAATATAAAAAACTCTTAATTTTTTTTTTGTAAGATTTCATTGTTTTTTGTTTGGTTTTATTTTGTATTTGTTACTCTTTTGTTTTGTTTGTTGTTGTTGTTGTCTTTGCCTTTTTGTTTTTCTTTTTATTGAACATAATAATTTGTTGTTTTTGTTAAGTTTGTTTTGTTGTTGTTGTTACTTTTAATGCTCGCTCACTTGTCGCTTGTTAAATTTTGTAGCTTAAATTTAATTTCAAAATGCCCTCATGCAATTTTTAATTATTATTATTATTATTATTATTTATTTTCTGTTTTTTTGGGGGTGTGTGGTGTGTGTAAACTTATTTTGTTAGAATTGTAGCGTATTTTAAATTTAATTTTAATATGCATAAATTGTTTTTGCCCGTTTTCGACCCCGCAGCAGCTAGCTAACCTTTTGCTTTCATTCCATTAAACATTTTCAATATCGTCGGCCTTTTGTTTATTATTTAATGTGTTCCATTTTTCTGACTGTCTTTATGCCATACAAAAAAAAAAAATATATATATATATATATATATATGTATATATATATATATATTTTAGCAATATTAATAAACATTTATCTCATAGCTTTTTTATGTTTTCATGTATTTTGTATATTTTTTTTATGATTTTTTTATATTTTTTGTGTGTGTGTGTGTGTTTTGCATTATGTAATTTGTGGCCTTTTGTTTTTAGTATAGATTAAATTGTTGGCTCTCTCGCTTTTGTTTTTGTTTGCTTTTGTTTAGTCTGCTATTTAACAATGTTGACAAAATATATATACAATATGTATATCTATATATATATATTTCGATTAGATATTCCCTTAGTCTGTGTCCAGTGTGTGTGTGTGTGTATGTAGAGTGTGTATTTTTTAGCTTTAACTTTGCCTCTAAGTTTCACTAGTTTCTTTTTTTTTATTTGCTCTTTAAAATGCCTTCTCTTCTTCCTTTTTTTGTGTAAATAATTATATGAAATAATTCTTGCCCGTGCATAAGTTAAATTCTTAAATATTTTCCTTCTTTTCATACTTTTTTTTTTGTATTTTTTTCTTGAAGTTTTCTCTCTTTCTTTTTTTTTTGTTGTGTATAAATTTAAAATTGTCAGCCATTTGTTGTTGTTTTGTTTTTTCGTTAATAAAAACATTATGTAATTTATTTATATTTATATGTTTTTATGTTTAATATCCATGCTCTTGTCCTTTTTTTAAACCTTCAACTTTTCGTTTTTCTTACTCTCTTTTCTCTGTTTTTTATCTCTCTTCTAATTTCTATAAAAAGTGCGTAATTAAAAATTGTTGGCGCCCGCAATGTTTTTGTTTTTTTATATAATAATCATTGTATTTATTCTTTCATCTGTTTAATAGCTAAACTTTAACGTATCATATCAGATACGTGTGTGTGTGTGTATATATACACACAGCAGTGTGTGTGGTACAAAAAAAAAAAAAAAAAAAAATCAGAGAGAGTTATGTGTGTATTGTAGTTGCCTGCTAAGCTTCTTTCTTTTTTTTTTTGTATAATTTAATTTGATTTGAATTACTTTTCCACTTTTTTCCACTTTTCTCTTTTACCATATTACCTATTTTCGCTTAGGCCCTGTGAATCTTGTTTAAAAATACTCTACATTTAGGATAGATTTTATGTACAACATTTAAATTACTAATAGTTGTAATTTAGTAATTTATTTTTCATTTTTTATTTACTTTAATTAAGTAATTAACTTGTAGACGCAAAAAAAAGGAAACAAAAATGAGAAAAAAGCTGGAAAATAAGGACTAAAAATACTAACAGACACACACACACACAAAAACAAAATCGGACTAGACACAACATATATATATATATATATAATATGTTTTTGGGGGGAGGGAGGACTTTTTCCGCTGGACTTTCAACTTTGAAATTTTCTTTACAACCAAGAATGTCTTGTAAACTCTAAATACTTGAAGTATTGGTTATAGTAATTGCTTTAGCTTTAGTATATATACTTTATATATACAAATCTAAACGGATGGATTTTAGTTGCTTGAGAAAATTTAAACGCAAATGAATTATAAAAAAAGTCTTTAGACTTATGCCAAATATCTATATATAAATGTATATAAACAAAAGATACAACACTTTATTCTGGACGCCAATTTTGTTAATTTTCGAGGGGAATGCTTTGATAGTAGAGGCTAATTTTGGACGCAATCGAACAATTTTCTCACTTCACTAACAAATGTACCTAAAAAAAAACACACACACACACACACACATACACAAAACAAGTCAACTGGATACAAAGAAAAAGAAAAACATGAAAAATATATATATAAAACACCTGAAATTGTGCTATATTTTTATAGATTTCTTTTGTATTTTTTTAAATCGTTTGTTTTTCTTATTTTTTATTTCTCTTATTCAGCTTTCCTCTCGCTTTTATTTGTTATCGCTTGCTCAGTTTTTTTTTTCGTTTTGTTTTGCTTTGCTTGTCGTGTTTGTTTTATATTTTTGTTTTCCTTTTCGTTTGAAATTAGCGGGGCGGTGCAGCATGGCGTATGCGTGATATTTGGCGGAACGAGCACGAGAAACAAGAAACGAAATCGCTGCCTTTTCGGTTGGATAAGCTTTGCATATTTTGCATCCGTTGCGATGCAGTTATATATGCTATATATAATATATATAGGTATAATATATATATATCTATATATATTTAGGTATTTATTAAATTAGTTATTTTAATTTATTAATATATTTCTTTGCTTAGTTCCTTTTAGTTATTTATTTGTTTATTTCTTTTTTGATATTTTTTATTTATTTACTTATTATTTTATTAATTAATTAATTATTTAATTTTATTTATTATTTTACTTTATTAAATTTATTTATTATTTATTTTTTAAATTTATTTACTTATTTATTATTTTATTTATTAATTTTTTTTTATTTATTTATTTAGTAATTTATTTATTTATTAATTTTTTTATATATTTATTATTTCATTTAATTTATTATTTATTTTTATGGATTGAATTATTATTTTTTAAATTTATTTATTTACTTATTTTATTATTTTATTTTTTAAATTTATTATTTATTATTATATTTTTGCGGCTCTTAGCATTGTTGATAATTTAATTGTTTAGTTTGTTTTTCCCTTAAGTTTTAAGTTTCTGTTTTCAGCTACAAATACATATATATGCATGTGTGAGTGTATTAAAATATCCCTTATCGCTTTACATGCGCTTCCTGTTCCATTGCCACTTCCGCTTCCGGTTTCGCTTTCATCTACTCCCCTATCCCCCTCTCTCTCTCTCTCTCTATTTCTGTTTGCTTTATTGCCTTGGCATTGTCTTTGCTTTGTTACCTGGGTTGTATGTGTGTATGTGTGTGGTGTGTCTGTGTGTTGTTTTTGTCACAAAGAACTAACTTTCTATAATTAAAAATTGGCTTCTGCTTTTCTACTCTCATTATTCTTTGTTTTCTTGTTTTTTTGGCCGCTTTAGTTTCATTATTTTCATTGTTAAGGTTTTAGGTTTTCTTTATCGATTTAAGTTTAATTTTAGTTAATTTTTTGTGTGTGTTTTTTTTTTTTAAAGAGAACTTTTGCTACGTTGGTATTATAATGCATGTGGAATCATTTAGCTTTAGTTTTACTGCTTATTGCGTTTTATAAACACTAACTTCATTTGTCTTATTTCAACTACTTACTTAAGCCGCCTTTTCGCTGCTCCACTTTCCTTCCTCTTCGTCTCTCTCGTTATTCTCCTTCACTTTGTTTTTCTCTCCTTTTATGCCTCCTTTTATCCTTTCTTTTATCCTTTGTTCACTTCCTTTTGCTTCCTTCACTTTCTCCATTTGCCATAACTTAACATACAGTTCGTAATTCTAGTAAAAAAAAATGTGTCTCTCCCGTTCCGTTCTTCTCTTTTCATTTTTTTCTGGTTTTTTTGTTTCTTTTTTTTTTTTTTGTTTGCTTTTGCGACTGGCTTTTCCGGCCAAAACACACACTAATGCACAATTATTACTAGACAAAAAAAAACATAGGTTTGCTTACTAGCCTAAAGTTGTAAAGGTCTATAGAAAAAAACCGATCCGCTTGGATCCTTCGTCATTATCGCTTTGTTAAGTACATCGTAGTGGTTGCGATCGTTATCGTTTTCCCATTTCCGTTTCCGGTATCCTCTGGAATGCTGGGTTTGTTCCAGCCACTTAGTAACGCTGCTGGTACTCGTGGTGCCAGCGGTTAAAGTCAATGTGGAACACAATGATGGAACCCGTCGAGAGGCCAGCCAACAGGTATCTGTGAGGTGTGGATATATCAAAAAGGTGTTAGAAAAGGGCTAAGGTCATACTAAAATCCTAGAAATCAACTCTGGAAAGAGCCTTTTCCGCTTATTAAATTTATGAGAATTACTGGGAAAAGTATAAGATCGTATTCTAAATATCGTAAAATTAAGTATATTGGAATTTGAAATACTAAAATTATATCATTTTAAATTAAAATATAAATATTATAAAAGAAAACCTTTAGTCTATATAATTTATTTGTTTAATTTTTTTATCGATTATAAACAACTATTTTGAGAACTTTTATAGGTATAATAAATAAATAATCGATTAATTGTATCCTTAATATATCGTTTAATGTATCGATACATTATCAATATATTTATATTTTCTTCTATAAAAATGAATTGCTTTTAAACATTGTTAACATTTATAAAATACCAATAAATAATATTATTTAAATATTTATTTTTTAACATTTACAAAAAAATTATGAGGAAACATATATATTATTTATATATTTTATATATATTATATATATTTCTTAAATATATTTTTTAATTATATGTGTTATATTTTTTGTATTATATATTTCTTAAATATATATTTTTTTTAATTTAATTTTTTGGCATTTGTTTCAAAATTAAAATTGATAATTTTTTCTAATTTATCAACGACTAAAGCTTCATTGTTTATTTATAAATTAAAATTTCTCTATTAATCTATTAAAAATATAAATAATAAAGTCGTGGAAATCACTTACTTTTGATCATGGGTGAGGGCCAAAGACCGGATGCCCGCATTGCAGGCGGGGAAGGCATAAAGTGGTGCTAGGTTGAAGGTGCGCCACACCTCCACGATGCCGCGATCGCCGGCGGTCATCAGGTATTCGCCATCGCGCGACAGCAGCATGCACTGAAAAAAATTTTGAAAAATAAATAGAGATGAAGGGATATTAATAATCATATTTAGTCATAAATTTTTAAATTAATAAAAAAAAAATTATACAAAAATTTAATAATGAATAAATTAAAATTAAAATATATACAATTATAAATTTATATTAAAATGTATAAAATTATAAAGTTATATTAAAATATATAAAAATATTTGTAAGCTGTATTTTGATATAAAAATAATATATATAAAATATAAAAAAATTAAATAATTTAGAAGTTAATATTAAAATATATACGAAATATTTATTTGTACGTAGTAATTTTATTTATAATAAAAATAGTTTATAAATTAATATTAAAATATATAAAAAATATTTACTTGTTCACTGTAATTTTAATTATAATAAAATAAATATAAAAAATTAAATAATAAATATAATTTTATTTTAAATTATAAATAAAATAATTATTTGTTTACTGTAATTTTAACTATAATACGAAAAAATCTAAGAAAAATATATTCCAAACTCACCTGTAGATTGTCGTTGTGCGTCTCATGGCGCAGCTTCTTGCCATTTATGGTATAGGCCGCCACATTCCCCTTGTCGTAGTTGATGACAATGAAGCCCTCGCGGGACATGGTGATCAGTTCCGGGGAGTGGAACTCCGCGGGCGGGTCCAGTGAGCGCAGCAGGTCCCCAAAGGTGGTGTGAATCAGCACAGGACCATCTGTGTGTGGGAGAGAGAGGGGGAAAAATAAGAGAAACCAGGGAGATTAGTTATCGCTCAAGACAGATTGCTCCTCCTACTTCTACTCCTCCTCCTCCTCCTTCTCTACTCACTTGATGAGCCCGAAACAACCAGGCCGAGCTCGGCACTGATCACCACCGAGGTCACTGCCTGTTCGTGACCCGTCAAGGTGGCCCGAGGAGTGGGCACATCACCCTCACCCACAATGCTCTGGGTGCGGGCATTCCAGTGCCACAGAAGAACCGTGCAATCTGCCGATCCGGAGGCTATATAGCAGTCCGAGGTGATGTTGCACTCGGACCGGGCCATGCAGGTAACCACACCAAAGTGTCCAAACACAATCTGAACGATTTTAGCTGTGAATTCAAATTAAAAAAAAAATATTTTAATTATGAATAAAAGATAAAAATGTAAAGATAGGAAATTAGGGTAAGTATTAAAGCTCAAAACTCACCCGTTTCGGTGGCAAAAACACGGAAACTGTTGTCCCAGAAACCGCAGGCTATAAGGAACCTGCTGTCCACGGTGGTCACAAAGCAGTTCGATCGGATCTTGAGCATTTGGCTAAAGTTATCGCCCAGATGGCGGCGACTCACAGCATTGCTATTGTTATTGGTGCCATGGACAGCTGCAAGGAGACAGACAAGAGATCCCTATATAGAAACCCATATCCTTCTCCGCCTCCTCCTCACACACTCACCCAGCACTGGATCGATGGTCAGCGGTTGATTGGAGCCCGGCGACTGTGGCGATTCCGCATAGCTGGGACTCTGGACGGAGGCGGTGTAGTTGCAATTCCAACGATTCACCGCAAACTGATGACCCGCCGTCACGGTGACCACCGAGGGCAGCGACAGCTGCGGATAGGTATTGGCCGAAATGTGTATAACCGGTGAGTTCTGATAGAACTTGAGCATCTGGCACAGATCCTCCGGCATGGCGCTGAACATCATCGGCGATAGATGCATGGCCGAGCTACGCGGCGGATGCGGTTCCATCAGCAGCTGGCTGGGCGTCTGCCCAAAGTTACGAATTTGATTTTCAACAGCCTCTCGCATTACGGGATCCAAGACCCCATCGAGATCCACGCTGCCCTCGTAGGTAAGATAATAGAACACATTGGTGGCCCTAATGGCCTCCGGGCCACGTTGCTTATAGCCAAAAATCAAATCGATCCACTGATGCAGCTGGCAGGACACAAATTCCGACTCGAGGGCCATCCGATTGATGCGTACAAATTCCTCGGGACTCTTGGCCCACGGCGGCAGTTCAATGTCATCCACAAGAGCGCCATCCTCACGATGACCCAGCCTGTAGTTGGACGAATTGTAAAACATTTCGGGCAGGAAATACCATTCGGGTATCAGTTCCTTCACATCAGATGTGTCCCGCTGGCAGTTCTTCCACGACAACGACACCGAGCTGAACAGCCTGTCGGGATAATCAAATTTGCCGCCTTGAAGGGCCAGGAACATGGTGGTGAAGGGCTCCACACGCACCAGCCAGTTGAGGGTAAAGGCCGCCGTGGAATAGTGGGTGCCATAATGGAATGGCGGTATGGTATCGCTATCCCAGCTCTCGTAACGCTCCTCAAAGTACGCTCGTCGTGAGGGATTCAAAGCTCCAATGGGCTTTGAGAGATCCCTATAGTTGGAGGGCAGGCTGAGATCCAAATCCTTGGACTCGTAGTTGGTCAGAACCCAGGGGAAAATGGGATACTGATTCAGGTCGTTGTATGTTCTGCCCGCAATCGTATTGAGGAACATCAGATACTCAAAGTTGCTAATCTCGCGTCGCTGCCACTTCTGGGTCATGTTGGAGTTCCGCATCAGCTGGCGGGGTGACATCATCGATGCCCGTCGTGTCTGTGGTATTCCATACTTGATGCCCACTCCCACCCGAGGCAAAGCCTTGATTACCTTCTTCACCGTGTGCTGATCGGGAAAGGCAAACAATATGGACGTCCGGCTGGCCAGAAAGATCTCCAGGGCCACATTTTGGAGGAGATAGCGACGCGAGAAGATGGCACGCACCTCGGAGAAGTACCACTTGCCATGGAGATGATCGCAATACTTGAGCACTTCACCATCAATCTTCTGGAACTCGGGATGCTCTTCATCCACCTCGAAGAACATCTCCGTGCTGGTGATGGACACGGTGCCAGGAGCCACCAAACCGGGTGCTATCAGGCGAGCCTTGGTGCTTATGTTCACGGGTCCTGTGAGATCCAAATCCAGCTCACGGTCTTCAATCAGAAGCTCAGCATCGTCCAGGAGCTCACCATTGTGCTGGCCCGAGGAGGGATGCGACCGGGACACAGCTATTTGGGTATGGAACTCATCGCGTGTCTGCAGTATGGCATCTTCGGGGCCGCCATTCTCTAGGGCCGCCTTCAGTGTGGCCTGCGGATGAGAGGATCCTCGGGGATTCTGCACCATCCGCTTGCGTCGACGGGCATCATCCTCCCAGGCATCCAGCTTCCAGTAGGGACTCTTTTGCACTGCACCCACAATGACACCACCGCTGGCACTCGTGGTGGAACTGGAGCTGGAGTCACCCCAGGCTCCATGACGATTACACATTATGTTTCGGACTTTTTCGAGCAACCGACTGGCTATGACATTGTCCCTTCGCCTGGCCGCTGTGATCAGGTGATCGCACATACGCTCCTCCTCTCTCCGCTCCAGCAGGGTCTGTGCACACTGCGACTCAAAGTCGGCATGCTTGAGGACATCGTCGGCCCGCATTCGATTCAGGATGAATTCCGCCTCATTGGCCACCCGGACAATGTGATCCTTCATGGCGTGCGACAGCAGACGTCCCTCGTTGATCAGCTCGATGAAGGCCAGGCCGGCGTGCTTTTGCAGGCTGTTTTGCCACTCCTGGGAGCAGAGGAGCATCACCAGCTCCACCACGGAATGGGAGTTCTTGAAGGTGGTCAGACCCTTGCCCTCCATCAGCAGCTCCTGGCCGTGGGAGCCCACCAGGGTCTTGGAGAGGAAGGGTGCAAAGTCCACCATTATTTCGCGGAGTAGAGGACAGACTGGTCCCAGGGCCACCTCCAATTTCTGGGTGAGACTTGCCTCACGCGAGGGCGTTGTCAGCGGCAGTTGGGCCACCAAAGCGGGCGCCTTCATGGGCAGCTCTTCGGGACGGGATCGCTGATTGGTGACCACTCCTTGGTTCTGGCCAGAGGAGTTGACACCTGCCGAGCCGGAGACATAGCCATCGGGCACACGGACCACGGATATCTCCGAGTCTGGCTTATCGCCGCGTTCCGAGTGCACCGAGTGCTGCTGCTGTTGCTGCTGCTGCTGCTGTTGGTTAATCCCCGCCTGCTGCTGCTGCTGGCTAAGATGCGGATCATGCTTATCGGTGCTGCCATCCACGAGACCCACCACCATGCCAGCGCTGGCTGCCTGGACAGCGGCATCCTCGTTGAGGTTCACATCCGTCCAGCTCTCGTCGTTCGAGTGGCTGGGCTTGTGGTCGTCGATAAGGATCTCGCTGGAGGACTCCACCTCGGGCACCTCATTCTCCGTGGAGTTCATGTTCAGGGAGCCCACGTCGGAGTCCACGCTCTGCGGGGGATTCAAAGAGGGGGCGGGGGGTAGGAAAATATACGAAAAATAGATGAAAATAAGCAGGCAATCAAAATATGCATGGATTTTGGTTGGACAGAAGAGCAATCAAATGAGTCGTCGCCCACTTTCGTGTGGCGTTTACACTGAGCGAAAAGTTGTGGGCTAATATCAAATATTATTTTTAATAGGCATGCGAGTTACTAAATACTAGCGAGTGTTTGAAAATTATTTACTTTAATTATTTATTAATTAATATTAATTTAAAATATTTACTTTCATTATTTAATATTTAAAAGTAATTTAAATAATTTACTTTAATTATTAAATAATTAAAATAATTAAATAAATAAATAATAATTAAAATTTTCTTATATTATTTAATAATGAATAGTAATTAAAATAATTTACTTAAATTATTAAATAATTTAAAATATTTAAAATTATTTACTTGAATTATTTAGTATTTAAAATTTATTAAAATTGTTTACTTTAATTATTTAATAATTCAAACTATTTACTTTAATTATTTTAATAATTATAATTTTTTACTTTAATTATTTAATAATTAAGAATAATTAAAATTATTTACTTTAATTATTTAATAATTAATAAATTTTATTTAATAATAAATTACTTTAATTTTTGGGTTTTAAAAATTAAATTAATTAATTCATTATAAATTTTGTAATCTTTTAAATTTAAATCAACAAAAAAACTAAAAATTTGTTCTAAATTCATTTTAGTTTCTAATTTTTGTTGTCAGTGCATCCACTCTTTCGCTTATTGGTGTGCGTGGGCGTGCATGCTAGCGAGCGTGTGCGTGTGTGGACTTTGATGTATGCCTATCATTTGCACATTAATTATGCACATTGGACTATAAATCAAAATTCCCAAGTCCTGGCCTCCGTCCGTTTTGTCAACACATGCATTTGTCATCAACTCGACCCGGGCTCTAACCCCTCCAAACCTCTCCCCCTCCCTCCTGTTTATACAACAACTGTCACTCATCGGCAGCAGCGGCGGCGACGATGGCGGTGACAGTTTGTCAAGTGATTTGCATAAAAGTAGTCCAGATTCCCCCACAAACTCACTCTCTCTCTCCCTCTCTCTCTCTTCAAGCTCGAGCTCGAGCACTAAACCCAAATCCAGAGCCAATATTTTGGCCACAATTTTGGGGGCATTAGGCAAAACGCAAATGGAACGCAGCGAAATGGAATGGAATGGACAATGCAAGAGGAACGGGGAATGTGAAATGGAACACGAGCCACAAATTTTGTTAAGCGTTTGACAAATGTCAGCTGTCAGACAGGAACACTCAGGCAGGAACACGCACAAAACACAAGTCTGTCATTTGTCCGTCTAAGGGAGACATGTCCGGTTACAGAGGGTTTAATCAGGGGTTTTGAACACAAAATGTATTATTTTAAAGATAATTTAAGATTCTTGAATTTAGATTTTGAAATAACTTGAAAATAAACATAGCATAGTTTTTTTTTAAGATTTAAAATTTTCAGAAATGAATGGATATTTTTTGATTAGTGTACTGGCAAATCCCAAGCCCTGAAACAGCTGTTGCGTGTGGCATCAGCTTGTCATCAACACGAAACCAATCGCCTTTTGTTTGCCCTCGATTGCAGAAGTGTTGTCCCGTGTCCTGTCCTGGGATCGCATCCCTTGGAAATTCAAATTTTAGCCCCAAAAACCCATTTCTCATACCATTTCGGGGGTTACCCAATCTTGTCAACTGTGATATATGCACGCATTCATTAAAAGCAGAATGTGTGTGTGTGTGTGAGGTGAGGTGAGCAAAAGAGTGAGAGAGGGAGGGAAAGCAGTGCACTTAGCAGCTAATCACTATGCTTGTATGTGTGTGTGTGTGTGTGTGTGTGTTGGGGGAGGCATAAATAATGCCAGTGTATTAGTTCATTAGAGGGGTGGCATCTCACCAAAAAAAGCGATAAAAGCCAAGAAAAGTGCTCTAGTGTGCGTGTGTGTGTGCTTTACAGCTATGTATCACTAATTGCACAAGACATGTACACATTAACATATACCACACAGACACATATACACAAGAGCGGGGGATAAATCACAGGAACACATCTACACATCAACACAATCTAAGGACACACAGAGAGAGAAGAGAAGCCTCCGGCATACTTTTGGGACGCCACAAGGTGGCTTCAGTGGCATTTTCGGGGGGAATGGGGAACCGGCCATCATTGGGATTGGAAATGGGTTTGGAAACGGGCATGGGCTCATGGTTTATGTGCTCGCTTCCCTGGATGCGACTCATTAAGTGCTTTGATTTGTCGGTGCAGATTACAAAATGAAACATGGATCCAACTTAATTGCAGGCTCGACTTCTCAGCCCAAAAATCAATAGGAGACGATTGCAAATGACGAGACAAAAATGGTAGAAAAAAAAAGTAAACGAAAAGCAAGCAGAGAAATTATTAACATAAAAACTCAACAAATCTTTTCTATATTAAAATTACCACCAAAAATTCAACTAGAGTTAAGAAATCCCTTAAAAAGATGTCTAAAAGTATGCAAAAAATATTTTGGGGGTGTAAAAATCTGGATAAACTTGTTTTCAACAATTTCTAGCATACTTTTGGTCGCCGTTTTTGAGGAATTTTAAAACTGCTTCAACTTTTATTCGTTTTCTATCCTTTAGAAATGCAACTTTTCTTTGTAAAATCTATTTCTAAAAAATAAACTTGAGTCTTAAATTGCCTATTACGCTCGCTTTAATTGGAAAACTTCTCTATATACAAATTTAAAAATTAAAGAAAGACCAAAAATTCCACTATAGTTGCAAAAATGTAGTTTACACTTCTAGTCAACATTTTGTAGCATACTTTTGGTCAGATTTTTTGAGGATTTTAAAACTCCTTCATCTTTTATTTCTTTTCTCTCCCTTAGAAATGCAACTTCTCCTTGTTAATTCAATATCTCAGACCATAAATTAAGTCTTTAATTTTCTTGAAAATATAAACAAAATTCAAATGCTTTAATAATTTACATCGTTGTAAGCTGAGAATATGCCACAACAATTATAAATTTTTGGGCAACAGAAAACAGACAGACTGAAAATGCGAAAAATACACACAAAGGCAAATAAAGAACTGTGGGGGACAGCAATTAAGGCTCAACGAAAAACACACAAAATCAAATGTAATGAGAGGCCATGAAAATGAAAAATAAAACCAAAAGTGTGTCTGAATTTCACACACATATATATTTTCTGTGTGTGCGTATAGTGTGTGTGTGTGTGTGTGTTAGTTTATGGAGTGTGGGTGTGGGTGTGGCGTTTTCAGTGCGTCAAAAATGTATATTGTAGCAGTACGAGTGCAGTTTTTATTTAATTTTGTTGGTATTTTCTTTGCGGGTTTTGTGCTGTTTTTACGGACTGTCAAAAGCTGTTGATGTTTTGTTGCTGTTTTGTTGCAGTGGCTGCTGCAATTGTTGCTTGTTTTTCTTAATTTTTTTTTTTTTTTAGCATTTTTTTGGAAAATGTTTTTCCAGGTTTTCTGTATTTTTAATTTTTGTTCTTTGCTTTACCTTTGGCAATTTTTGAGGCACCAATGGCTTGGGTGGTGACAATGGTTGTTGTTGAATTTTAATTGTTGCTGTTGTTGTAGTTGTAGTTGTTGCAGATTTTGCTATAGTTGTTGTTGTAGTCTTAGTGGTGTTGTTATTGTTGTAATGGGTTGTTGTTGTTGTTGTAGTTGCTGTTGTTGTTGTTGTTGTCTGGTTGGCCTGTGACATTTATTTTATTTTGATTTTGGTTGTTGTCGTTGTTGTTGTTGTTGTGATTTGATAATTTTGCATACAAAATTTTAGTTTTTTTTTTATTGCACATGCAAATGAAGTTTAGTTTTTCTTTTTTTTTTAATATTCTTTATGAGAAAGCACACACACTCAATCACTCGTAAAACACATGCAACACACTCATACTGGTTACTTTTGTATATATTTTAAAATATATATATAAAAAAAAATAATAATAATAAAAGTACTCACCTTAATCGAGGGCGGTCCACTGGAGTGCGAATCGTTGTCTGCCAAAACCGAGGGATTATTCTCATCCACCACAATTATTTCATAATCACTATCCTGGATTTGCCGACCACCTGGTAAAAAGAGCAGAGAAATGGGTATTACTATCAGGATTCTTTAGATTCATTTTTTTATATATTTTTTTAATATATATTTTCATATATATTTTCATATATATTTTCATATATATTTTTTCATATATATTTTTTCATATATATTTTCATATATATTCTCATATTTTATATATATTTTCAATAAATATTTTCATATTTCATAGTTGCTGTTGCAGTTACAATTACAGAACTAGAGTAGAAATCTGTAGAATTTACTGTTACAAAGCTGCAGACAAAACTCAAGTTAATTACAACCTAAAAATGTAACTCAAATGAAACAGAGAAGTAAAGAAAAAAACAAGCAAGAAAAAAGAAAAAGAAGAAACATAAGCAAAACACAAAGGTGTTGTTGAAGGGGGGGGGAGCGGAATTAGCAAAGCTCATAATTTGTAAGACTTGCCTTGTCCTTAGCTCTGGCTTTTATCTACAAATTAACCTTGTTTAACAGTTGGCCATGTCCTGATCTGGCTTAATTGAAATTTATGATTGTCCCCGACACGTGCACTCTGTCCTCCTGTGTCGCCTGTCCTGTCCTGTCCCTTGCCCTGCTAAGTGTGCTACACTTTCCTCTGCACTCCCTACGCTCTCCTTTCTTTCTTTATTTTTTTTTCGTTTAATTTTGCAATTATTTTCATGCACTGCCACGCCCTCAGCCTTGCCACACTGGGATTTACACAGGGCCAGGAGAGGGGGGGGTCAGAGAGCTGGCCACAAATTACTTTTGTACAGAATTCGGAACGTGTTATCGGTTCCAACAGTTGTACAAACTGTTTTTCCAGCTTTTTTTATTCGCTTTACGCCCCACGCTTTTCGGTTTTCTACTTTTTTTTTTTTGCTTCTTCTCTTCCAGCTTTCATAAATTATCCCAAAGTTTTTCCCACTCTGTTATGGCTCTCCTGTTTTTCCTTTTTTTTTTCTGTATTTTTCGGCGCGACTAATTTACATTTTTGTCGCTGCCATTAATTTTGTAATGGAAATGTGTGCTTGTTCTACCGGACACTCTGTGTAAAAGGATCTCTGACCATCGCAGAGTCCTTTGGGTTTTTCTTTTTTTTAATATCAGAGGAAAAAAACCTACAAACTAGAGAACAATATTTATTGTTCAGAAGAATAATATCGATCATAAAAAATATGGAATTATATGAAATCGATAAAATATCTATAAAAAATCAGGAATCTCTATTACTTTTATTATTATTTAAATTCATAAAAAGTTAATTAACCTTGCAATAGCTAAATCAAACCGAAGAAAATATTAAAGAGCTATATTTTTAAGTAAAAAAAAAGTACTATACAAAATTCCATATTTCTATAAAAATCTGTAACAATCTATGAAATAAATATTTGAGATATTTTTATACCCTTGCAGGGTATTATAATTTCAGTCAGAAGTTTGCAACGCAGTGAAGGAGACCTTTCCGACCCTATAAAGTATATATATTCTTGATCAGTATCAACAGCCGAGTCGATCTAGCCATGTCCGTCTGTCCGTCTGTCCGTCTGTCCGTCTGTCCGTCCGTCCGTCCGTCCGTCTGTCCGTTTCTACGCAAACTAGTCCCTCAGTTTTAAAGCTATCTGAATGAAACTTTGCATATAGTCTTCTATATGCTCTCACTGCTATATATGTCGGAACGGGCCGGATCGGACGACTATATCATATAGCTGCCATACAAATGTTCGATATATTTGTAGAAAAAAATTTATAACTTTGCTGTTTTTCAACATTTTTGCACCATTTTTTAGATATGGCCATTCTATATTATTTCAGAATTTTGGTAAAAATTTTATCAAAATCGGAGGACTATATGATATAGCTGCCATAGGAACGGTCGAGAAATAAATAGAAAAAAAAATTATAGTTTCGTTGTTTTTCAACGTATTTTCATCTACTCCGGGATATAATCTTTTTTTATTATTCTAGAATTATGGTATAAATTTCATAAAAATCGGACAACTATATCATATAGCTGCCATATAAACCGATCGGTAGATGTAGAGAAAATGTAAAACTGGGAATGTAAAACTGTAACTGTCAAACTGTAAACATAATAAGTATGGGTAAAATGTAATGAAACTCTGTTTTGTGAGTGTTTTCAGCATTTAAATCTATAATATAAACATCGAAACCAATCTGCAAGGGTATACAAACTTCGGCGTGCCGAAGTTAGCTTCCTTTCTTGTTTATTATTTTTATTACAAGAAAAATTAGCGTTTCTATAATATCAAATGATCGATATCGATAAATTGTTATCGATAAATTGTTACATTTTAATTAATTTATTTTATTTAAAAAAAATTGTATTTTTATACAATTTTATTATCTTTATTATAAAAAAAATGGAACCTTGCAATAGTTTCGATATTATATCGAACCAAGTCTTAGAAATCGATAAATTCTGTCAAATAAAAAATATTTATCGATGCTTTTTATATCTATTTTAACTTAAATATAAATTAAGCCTAGATAAAATATCGATATTATATTTATTGAATAGAAAAAACTTTATACTTTTCTGTCCACTAAAATGTACATTAATTTTTTAAATTTCAGTATTTTTATTTAAAAAAAAAAAAGTACTTTTCCCATGTCAAATAATTAATTTAATTTGATTCCCCAACTTACTTATTTTTCCCTATAAAAAACGCTTTTTAATAGAGTATTTCCTGATGCTGTGCTGTGTTGAAATATTAAAGAACCCAATTTTTTGGTCTCTCCATACTTTTTCTTTCCCTGGGCCTTCTGTTTTTCATTTTTTTTTCCATTTTCCTCTGACCGACCGTGTGTCCAAATGGCAATTTTTAAAATGCAGGCGTGCCGAATGTCGTTTTATGGCCTGTCTGCGAAATGTTTTATGCGCACTCACACACTCTCCCACACACACACACACACACACACACACACACAGAAAACGAGAGCCATGTATGAATGGCAAATTGTATAATTTTCGTGTAATTCATTTTCATAAAATGTAAAATTAACGAATTATGTTTCATTGCCAGTGGAAGAAGAAGCAGTAGTAGGTGGCGGAGGGAAGTGCGAAACATTTTCCAGATTTTCCAGCTTTTACTGGCCTACGTGTGTGTGTGTGTGTGTGTGTAAGTGTGTATTGCAAATGAAGATAAATGAAATGAATTTTTGCTGACAGCACAAAAATGACGAGCAAGTTGGGAGCCAAACGAATAGAGAGAGAAAAAAAAAGTAAACCAAAAAAAAAAAAGGCAGAGAAAAATAGGGAAAATGTGGAAGGAAATTTCTAGACCCTGAAGTGTCAAAAAATTTCTAGCTGTCACTGTTCTAGCACAAGCTATACAAAGATAGATTGCAATTTTTAAAAGCATATTTGGATAACGTGTCGGACATTACATCATCATCAGCATCATCATCATCATGTTGCTGCCTCTACGCTTTTGCCACAATTTCCTTCAACATTTACAAAGAATTTTAGTTTGGCTAAAAAAAAATATCAAAAAAATAAACATAAATTCTGGAAATATATCCAATCCAACTAACAGAGTGCAATGTGCTTTAAACAATAACAATAAAAACTAAAAGAGCAACAATTGCTTAAACTGGGATTAAGCTGAAAACAAAATGCTTTTTGATTGAAAGGCGATTAAATGATTTATCGAAATAACAGAGGGACACTTAAATGCTTTTACTAAATGTTAAATATCAGGTTTAAAAATATCAAAAGGCTTTGAATTCTTTAATCTTTTGAATATTTTATATGAATTTTCACTCAACTATCACATATTTTAAGCAAAAATAAAGAATAAAAAGCCAAACTAAAGATAAGGTCAGTTGTTTCTATCCTAGAACACACACCTATACACACACACACACACAACAGGTGAAAAATTTATACACAAACAATTCAAGTAGAAGGAGTTTTTTTGCTAAAAATATTTACATATTTCCTTGTGAGTGTTTTGTGAGGAGAAGAAGATAAGTTTAGCTACCAATACACAATATATATATAATATTATATATATAAACACAAACTACGAGTACGGAAATGAAAGGCAAGGAAGTGAAGAACGACTAAATCAAAATCAGCAGAGAAATAGAAATGGAAATTGAAATATAAATCGAAATCGAAATCGAAATAGAAATATATATATATATGGTAAATAAATCAAATCGAATTGAATCGAATCGAAAGGAAAGTGAGCAACAGTCTAGCAGCTAAGGATATATATTATGTATCTATATATATGTATATATTTAGAAGGAAAGGAGTGCCAACAAGGTGGTTTTTTAAGGTATCTTTAAGTCTTTTAAGGGAAATGCCTCAAGGAATGCCTTAAAAATGTTTTAAAAAGAGATTGTTTAATTTTAAGAAAATGAATAATCTATAATTTCCCAAGAATTTAAAAGTTTTTTATTTTAAAATACATTTTTAAATATTTATTATTATTATTTATTATTTGTAAGACAATGGTATTATTGATATTTAAAGAAAATCCTTTTTAATTTAATTTTTTTTAAGGTTTTATTTAATTTAATTTGAAGATTTTATTTAATTTAAGTGAACTTTATTTGTTATTTGTAGTTTAACAAATTTGGAATTAAATAAAGATTTTTTTTATTTATTTAAGCAATATTATTAATATTAATATTATTACTTTTTAATATACATTATTTTTATTTTGAAATAAATCGTTTCATTTAATAGGAATTTTTTTTAAAATTATTTTCTTATAAGTATTATTTATTTGTAATTATTATTTTTTGTTTTTTGTTTATTGATAATCAAAGTAAATTTATTTTTATTTTATTTTAATTTATTTTTTAAACCTTTTACGATTTTATTATATTTTATTTAAGTAAACTTTATATATTATAAATAGTTCAAAAAAATTTCCAAATGAAATAAAAGTAATTTCAGAAATTTTTCATAGAATAAATATATAGCTAAGGAATTTCTTGTTTAAAACCCTTAAAAAATCTGCCCAAAAATATGCATTCAACAAAAAGATATTCCTCTCCTACCGGTGGCACCCCTTCTACAAATACCATAGTTACGGATAGAGATAGAGATAGAGATACCTAGATACATAGCATATACACATACAGATACATTCTAGGGTAAGGACGAGAGGATGTTTGGGTTGGATAGGTGCCAATTTTTGAACTCTAAACTCTACGACATGTCGAACGAGCGATACCTGTTCCAGCGGATGCGTTGCGTCCATTGTAGCGATAATTATTATTTATGGCGCTCGTCTTGTAGCTAACGCCTCCATCCATGCCGCCACCTGCCACGCCCATATTCATATTGCCTGGGATAACATTACCCATGGTCATGCCCATACCAGTTACACCAGCAGCAGCAGCAGCAGGAGCTCCTCCAGTTCCTGGTACTCCTCCTCCTGCTCCTCCTCCTACTCCACCTCCTCCTCCTCCTCCTCCATTGCCATTCCTCAGGTTGCGCATGTTATTCATCAAACTCGAATTGTTATTGCCCGAGACAGAGCCCGTTCCAGGCCCAGAGCCATGACCATTGACCAGACCCACTGTCTGGTATTCCGCATAGCCATTCTGGGCAGGCGTCTCTCCTCCATTCCTCATATAAGCATGCGGATGCGGATGCTGATGCTGGTGGGGATGCGAGTGCGGATGCGGATGGTAGCCCCCATTCTCGGGATAGTGCTTGCCATTCAGTTGCTGCTGCTGGTGGCCATTGATGAGGCCATAGTGCGTCTGCTGCTGGTGAGGATGGTAGTGTTGCTGCTGCTGCTTGTGGAGCTGGCGATGCGTCTGCTGCTGGCTTTGGGAGGCCAAACTGGACAGACTGGAGCTTGAAGCTGGCTGGGATGTGGCCGTCGAGCTGGCCGAGGAGCTGGTGGAGTGTGTGGCCAAGGGAGTGGGCGAGATATTGCCACCAAGTTGCTGCTGCTGCTGCTGTGTTGTTACTGCTGCTGTGGCATGTTGCTGCTGCTGCTGCTGCTGCTGCTGCTGATAGTAATGGTGATGGCTGTGATTATGGGCAACCTGCTGCTGCTGCTGTTGTTGCTGGTAGTAATGTTGCTGCTGCTGTTGCTGCTGCTGCGGCATGTTGCCTGGGGCAGCTGCCACATGATTCTGATGCGATTCGGGCAGGAATTGCGGATAGACATGATGCGACCATTGGGGAAACAAAGGACGCGCACTGGCGGCTTCTAAAGTTTGTTATTTTTTTTTTATATTTACAGAGTTTATAGTTTTTTGTTTTTTTTTAATTTTTAGAATTTATTTGGAATTATTTTTTAATGTTTATTATTATTTTTAAGCCGGTCAAGGAATATGGTTTATATTTTATATATTTTTTAAATATATTTTATTATGTTTTTATATTTTTAATATTTTTTAAAATTTTTATATATTTTTTTAAATTATGTTTTATTATTTAGGTGGCGTGGCAAGGCGTGGCATATATTCAGTTTTCATTTTATTCCGTTTTTTGTGTTCAGTTTTTGTTATTATTTTTGTTTTTTGTATTGTTTTAAATATTTTTTTTTTTTGTACAATAAATCCGAAAAAGCAGCGTGAAATGAAATCATTGGTAAACGGAACAAAGAAAGGGAAACATAAAACCGAATAGTATCTCCAACAATGGACAGACATGAGTTATATCTTGTAGTGTTCTTAATAGCTAGTGATTATATATATATATATAAAATATATATTTATGTATATATAGTAATAAAAAGGGGGGTGGTGGGGGGGAGCCTCTGGATAGGAGTGGGGCAGTGAGTGGAACAATGAGGTGGGAAATAGAGTCAAAGGTGATTTAGTTTCAAAGAAAACTGTGGGAATTACACACACACGCACATGGGAGGGGGGCTGCTAAGGATGAGGGGTGGGGTGGGTGCGCAGTGCGTTGGTTAATTGGGTGTCTTAATCATTATAAATAATATATATATATATCTTTTGTCACTGATCGAGCGGCATATCTACCATATATATACATATATTGTATATATAATAAAAAAAACGAGAACGAGAACGAGAACGTGTCTCTGGGCTTCTTAGCCCAAAACACAAAACTAAAAAAGCCAAACAAGCTGGAACCAATGAGAAATGGAACAAATATATATTGTAAAAACCAAAAAAAACACAGCTCTATACATATAGTATATATATATATATATAGAGGCAAATATAAATCAAAATGTTTAAGACTAGCGGCCGAATCGCAAAACAGAGTCAAAAAACAGAGACGGAGAGAAAGGTAGAGAGAAACCATAAGCGAGCGTGAAGTTTTTGGTGCAGCAAGAGAAAAACGGAAACGGAAATGGGAAAGGAAACAAAAACGGAAAAGGAACTAAGAACGAAACAAAGAGCAACCGAGAAACTCAAGTGGAAAAAACCAAAAAAAGAACTGAAACAAAAACTAAACGAAATGAGAATGAAACGGAAAGAATGCCAGACTGGCAAAAGTTCCGTTTCCACCCGGTTCCCTTGAATATTGTATCCGTTTTCTAGTAATTGAAGCTGGAAATAAAAGCCATTCTATAATCGATAAATCGGTTTTTTTTTAATTTTAAAATATAGATTAATATACATTTTTACAATCAATTTAATAAAAAATGTTGTATGAATGAAAACGTTAATTTTAAACATTTTTTATATTAACGAATTTGTTTATAATATTAAAAAAAATGTATTAATATATATATATATTTAATTGTAGATTTTAAACCATTTTAGTCTAATTATTATTTTTTTTTTTTAATTAATTAATTAATTTAATTACATTTTTTTAGAAAAATTCGATTTACTAAATATCGCTTTATTTAAATTATTTTAATTTAAGATTTTAATCGACATATTTTTAATTTTTTTTTTTAGAAAACATCGATTTAATCAAAAAATCGATTTATAATTATTTTAACTATCGATTTTTAATAGAATTATTTTCATAAATTTTAATCGATTTATTTCCAGCTCTAATACTAATCGTTCCCATTATAAATTGTATAAAAAATTATCGATTAATTATCGATCTTTTATATATATATATAAATATAAAAGTAAACACTTACCGCCGCCTGCCGTGCGCTGCAGCACTGGCGATTGTCGCTGGATCTGCGGCTCTGCCGGCGGCTCCAGGATATCACGGTATTTGGACACCATTAGCACTGATATAAAGTAGACAATGGCCAAGGACAGGAACTGGGCCTGCTTGGTTTCCTCCTGGAAAAAGAAATTTAAAAAAAAGAAAAACAAAAATTAAATTCCAATATAATTTTTACAATATTTTATAAACTATAAAAAACTGAATAAAACTTTTTAAATATTTATTTTCTCAACTAAATACTCACCACATCGCGATAGATGACCGCCCGCAGGCGATTCACATCCATGTCCTGTAGCAGCTTCTCCGGATCCTTGACGGGCGATAATTGACCGGTGATTGACTCGACAATGTTCTGTGATAAAGAAAAAAAGATGAAGTGAGGGCTGGAGTTAAGGTTCCATAACCCTTACCTTGGGCGAGGCCTGGGCCCCTCGAATGAGTGCCTGCAAATGTGCTGCACCGGGCACATCTCTGGCCAGGGCTCCCACATTATAGCGGGTCCGCTCCTTGCACTCCAAGCAGTTACGAACCGCACAGGTGCACACCAGGCGGAGGCATTGCCTCAGGATGCCACCACTGGACATGTTCTTCTCCGCCTCCAATTCGCCAAAGTTCAGCGAGGTGGCAAAGATCAAGACATCGGCCATGTTGACCAGGCGCTGCAGGAAGGACACGGCCACCTCCAAAGGCATGCCCTGCGTGGGCTCCAAGACATCCAGTTCAGACTGAAAAATTAAAAAAAAAAATTCATTTAGAAATAAAATAAAATAATATATTGTAAAATAAAATATAAATAAATTATAAAATTTCTAAAAAACAATGAAATAAATTTTAATAATATTCAATAAAATAAAAAAAATTAAATTAATTTAAATAAATAATAATGAAATACATTTTTTTAATAAAATTAATGAAATAAAATTTAAAAAAAATTAAATTAAAAAAATAAAATTAAAAAAAATAAAATTAAAAAAATAAAATTTAAAAATAAATTAAATTAGACTTAAAGTAAATATATTTTAAATTTAAAGTTAATTAAATTCAATTTAATTTAATTACATATAAAAATATAATATATAAAAAACTGTATATATTCCAAATAAAATTTTAAAAAATTTTAATTTAATTGAAATTAATTAAATTTAAATAAAATTAAATTAAAAAAAATAATAATAAATTAAATTTAAAAAAATAATAATAAAATAAATCAAAATAAAATAATAATTCTAACAAAAAATTAACTATAAAACTCACATTGGGCGATGTGGCGCTGGCCAAAAGCGGCAGCAATCCACCGCAGGCTATGATCAGGTTGTCCGCCAGCTGGGAGATCAGATGCACTGTATTCACCACAAATATGGCATTCTCGCTGGAGTTGACAAAATCTAGGACGCTTTTCGTCGAATGGCTGCGCCACACCTGGATGTCCGTCTCCAGGGAGAAGAGCACATCGCTGAGCAGGCGCTGATGGATGTAGGACCACTTGAACTCCGGTATCCGGAAGGGTGGACGCGTGGGTCCAGGACTGAACATGGGTCGGGTGGAGCCCGATTTGGAGCGTTGCTGTTGTTGTTGCTGCTTCTGCTCCTGGCCAGCTGCACCAGCGGGACCTGTAATGATGATTATGGTGATTTTACATTGCTAATCTGATTTGTTGAGAATTTTTCAACTATTACTTTATATTTTTACAAATTTATTTAATGTAAAATCTATAAATTTATTAATTAAAATCCAACTCACCGTAATGACTGGCCTCCATTTGGCTGGCTCCATCCACACCGGCTGCAGCCTGCTGGGCGGCATACTCCTCATCCTCAACAGTGCCTCCAGTTTGGACATCCTCATCTTGAAGCTGCTGCTGCTGCGCCTGCTGCTCCTCGACCAACAAAGTGCCAGCAGCGTTGCTCGGTTGACCCGCCTCATTTTTGGGCGTGGTCTGTGTGGTGGAATCCACCTCGGTGGGCTTTATGCGCACCGGCGTTGTGGCCGTCGTTGCTGTTGTGGCCTCCTTGGACAGGACACGGGGCGACTCCTGTTCGGGGGCGGGCGAGGTCTGTGTGGTTTGCTCCGAGGCGGCCACAGCCTTGACGGTCTCATCGACAAGTGTGTCCAGTACTTGATTGACAATGGCCACCACTTGGTCCTTAGCATCGGTTGACTCTGGGGATTCCTTGCAGGGCTTATCTTCCAGTTCCTTGCTAAGCTCAAGTTCATCTTTGTTTTTGGTTTTTTCTGGACTCTGGACTTGTTGTGGTTTCTCCTCGTTGAGTTCTGGGTTTTTCTTGGCTGGCTCTTGGGAAGTCTCATCTTCGACCGAGACCAGAGCAGCTTCTACCACTTCCTGGACGATTTCCTTGGCGGCAACAGCGGCAGCCAAGCTTTCCACTTCCTCGGGAGCGGCAACGGGAGATTCTTTCTCCTTTTTGTGCTGTTCCTCTTTCAGATTCTCATTTTCCTGGTGCTCCTCCTTTTCCTGCTTTTCCTTCTCCTTTTCCTGCTGCTCCTCCTCCTTTGGCAGCTCATTGTTGTTCGTTTCCTTTTTGGTGGCAGCCACTGTAGAGGCTTCTCCTTCCGCTTCCGCCTCGGTGGCATCGATCACCTTGTCAATGAGCTGCTCAACAATGTCCCTAACGGCCAAAGCCACTGGATCGGCTTCGGGTTCAGGTGTGACGACCTTTGTCTGATCCTTCTGATCCTGCTCTTCCGCCGGCAGGAGATCCCCTAAAGGTGCCTCCTTTACCTGAGCACTGATCTCTGCCAGCTTCTCGTTGTTGTTCAGCTTGTTGGCTGCTTCTTCAGTCTTTTGATTGCTTGCTTCTGGGCTGGAACTGGGACTTGGACTTGGACTGGAGCTGGCATCACCGGAACTGGGTATAAGACCTGGCTTGGCCAGAACAGCTTCCACTGTTTCCGTTTTTGCCGGCACTTGTTGTTGTTGTTGTTGTTGTTGTTGTTCCGTTGTTACAACAACAATTTCATTGGCATTGACTTCCGTCTCCTCTGCTGCTGCTGCTGCTGATGATGTCGTCGTCGTCGTTTCCACCCCAGTTGTGGGCGTTAAACTTGGACTGTTGTTGTTGTTATTATTGTTGTTGTTGAGCAGATTCTTGCTATTTAGCAGGGTAACATTCACATCCTGTTCGGGAATCAGCGTGGTCGCCTTCTTCTCATTGTTAAGTACACCCTGGACAACTTCGTTGACGGCCAGCTCGATCTCCTCGTCCTTAAGCACCGAGGAGGCTTCTTGTAGTACATCATCCACGGCCATTTTGCATTCGTTTAGAGCCGCCTCTGAGGATTGCAAAACCCGGGCCACATGCTGCTCAGCATTGAGAGCATCCTTGGCCGTGGCCAGTTCCAATTCCTCCACATCCATGTCATCGCCCAGCTGCAGGGTCTCGCGCAGGGCTCCCAGCGAGGAGGAGGAGGCGGAGGCGGAACCCTCTTCGGGTTGGGCAACTGGAATGGGCAAAGGTACCGGCTCCAAGCTCTTCTCCAGGTCCTGCTGCTGCTGCTGGTCTTGATCTGTCTCCTCCAGGTTGCCATTGCAGGTGGTGGCATCGGTTTTCAGCTGCTCATTGTACACATCCGAGATGTTGGCAATCACAGACTTGGGCTCGGTCGGCTCTTCCTCTCCCAGACTCTCCTGCACCACCTCAATCTCCTCCAATTCCAGTTCTTCAACTTCCTCCTCCACCACGGGCGGCACATCCTCCAGCGAGGCTATGGAAACGGCAGCCTTGACGGCAGCAGCTGTTCCACCTCCCACCTGACTTGAAGGTGCTGCTACTGCTGCTACTCCTGCCGCAGCACCCACAACTCCATTCTGCTGCTGATGCAACTCCTCACGCTCCCAGCCACTGATTGTGCTAATGGGTCGTGCCTGACGCAGGGCAGGATCCGTTATATTGTCCGTCCGCTGGCGCTCATAGTGCTCGTACATCTGGGCAAACTGCAGCTTGAACTCCTCGTACGACACCTTTGAGTGAACAATGGCCAGGGTGTCAACCCATACCCGCCAGCCGCCGTACTCATGCTTTATGGCATGATGGAGCAGCATTCGAAACAGGGAGTAGACCATGTCACTAATCTTCTGCTCTTCGCTGCTCTTCGGATGGATGTAGGCCATCGCAATGAGCCACTCCTGCCAGACGGACATTTGGAGAACGGTTCGGCGATTTTCACGATTGCTATTACACAGCAGGGTCATGTCCTGCAGGAATAGCTTCTTTACATCGATCAGGGACTCGGTTTGCTTGGACTGGCGGATCAGAGTGGCCACCACCTTGAGGATCACTGTGGGACAGGTTGAAAATTATATAACATCAAAATTATATAAATGAAAAAAGGGAAATTTTAAGGAAAATTATTTTAAAAAAAACTGATTTCTTCGTCAAATTTTAGCTAAACTAGTTTAAGACTAGAAAATTTCTAGTATTTTTATGGGATTTTTTTCTTAATATAAGGATATCTTCTTTCTTTCTTTTATAAAAAAAATCAAGTTTTATCTTGCTTCCTTATTTCAAAAATGTGTCTTGTTTTTAAGTCTAAAACAATTTGTCTACAATTAAAAACGTTTTTTTCTTACATTCAGAAACGTTTTTTTTTAGTTTTTAGGCTGTTTAACTGTTTTCTTAATTTAAGGGAATTTATTTTTTTAATTTTTCTTGTAAATTTGAGAAAAATATATACAAATTTACCCTACAAAATGATATTGTCTTGTCTTGATTTCAAAAATCTTTGCCTTAAATTCATGCCAATATTTTCTTAATTCTATAAAAATATTAAAAGTTTCAGAGAGAATTTTCTTAAATATAGGAAAATATTTTTATAAGATTTTAAAAGACCCAAAAACTCACTTGGATTCTCCAGACGATAGTGACTCTCCGGTTCAGGATGACGTGTGTAGAGAATCTGCTGCGAGATATGCTCCGTCATAATCTCATAGAGGACATTGTATGTGGGCAGGGAGAGGGACTCCTCATAGAGAAGTAACCTTTCGGCCAGCAGGGTATAAAGATTGTGCGGCGACATCACGTCATATTTGCGTCTAGGGAAATGGAAAAGGAAGGAAAAGAAAGAGATATTTAAAATATAATTCAAATATAACAAAATATAATTAAAATATAAATACTAATTAAATATATTATATAATATCTAAAAAATTGTAAAATTTACAATTTAAAACCTGCAAAATTATCTAATATTAAATAATTCTTAAACACTCACTTGTGGGTGCTGCGCGAAAGGAAGAACCCAAGCAGCTTGAGGGCCTGCAGCCGGATGAGCTGACTCTCGGCCGCCAGCAGTTTGAAGATGCTGCGCACGCCGTGCTTCACATCGAAGGCAGGTACCATGGAACTGGGATGCTCCGACATCAGTGAGATGAGCATCTGCAAAACATCGTGCAGGTTCTCGTCCTGAAATTAAAAACAAACAAACAAAAAGCCAAAGAAAGAGATTTAAAAGATATTCTTCTTTTGGGGAGGAGCAGAGTTTCTGTCTTGGAATTTCTTGGTTCCTTCACTCACCTCATGCATGGTGGTCAGATAGTTGAGTATGCTCTGCAGCTCATCCTCCTTGACCCCGTTGCCGATCATTATAAGCTGCTTGAGGAATAGCAGGATGTAGGCACGGATGGCCAGGATATCCTTCTGGGCAGGACGTGGGCCATCTAAGGGGGGAAAGTTAAAGAATGGATTTAAGAGGGAATTTTAAGAGGGAATTTCAAGAGGGAATTTTAAGGGGGAATTTCAAGAGGGAATTTTAAGAAACAATTTTAAAGAATTTTTGAAAGATTTTAAAGAAAGAATTATAAGAAAATAATTTAAAGAAAATAATTTAAAAAAGATATTTAGAAAAGAATTTTAAGAAAGAATTTTAGGTAAAAATTTTAAGGTATAATTTTAAAAAATTATTTTAAGAAAGAATTAAAAAAAAATTTTTTTAGCATTTTAGCAAAAATTTTTAAATATAAATTAAAATTAAATTGAAATAAAAATAAATTTTAAATATAATTAATTAATTATAATTAAATTTTACAGTGTTACAGTGTAAATATTAAAAACTTTGACTATCGATTTTTAATCGAAATAATATCGTAAAAAAATCTTTTTTAAATTATAAATAAATACAACAAAACAATAATTTTTAAATAAATTTAAGGTTACATTTTCTTAGTTCAAAATATCAAACTAACTAACCAATACTTAAAGTATCGATTTAAGTATCGATTTAATTATCGATATAATATCGAAAACTATACTGTTTACATAATGTATTGAATACATAAATAAAGAAAAAATTTAAAATAAATTTAAAAGAAGAATTAAATACTAAAAAAAAAACATCAACTACAAAAAACGATCTAATATCGAGAGTTCAAGTTGAATCCCTCCTAATCAGGGACTGTAACGGTTATAATTAAAAAAGCAAAAAATTACCAAATAAAAGTTATTTCACAATTTTTATATAAAAATTACGCAATAACTTTTATTTTCAATTTTTATTATATAAATTGAAAAATAAAAATTATTCGATAACTTTTATTTTAAAAATTGAAAATAAAGATTGAATCTATATATCTTTTGATCCGTAGAAGCCAGATCCAATATATATATATATATATATACATATTTATTATATACCATCTGAAAGGTATTGATGTGTAGATCATATATATACATATATATTGGATCTGGCTTCTACGGATCAAAAGATATATAGATTCAATCTTTATTTTCAATTTTTAAAATAAAAGTTATCGAATAATTCTTATTTTTCAATTTATATAATAAAAATTGAAAATAAAAGTTATTGCGTAATTTTTATACAAAAATTGAAAAAAACATTTATCTTGTTTTTGAATTCGCCATGAAAATTTAACTTATGACAATTTTTTCAAATTTTTTTGGAGACTGTTTTGGGCTTCAATTTTTTTAAACTCATAATAATTATTTACGGTCCCTGCTCCTAATACTCACCCAATCCCTTTGGGATAATGCCACTCTTGGCTCGCGGATTCACCACCCAGTAGTAGTACTTGAGGGTATGCACCGTCTGGAGAACGGTGCTCACCCGCCGCACATTGCTGTAGATCTGCGTGTCCGAGAGGAACTCGGTGGCCAGGTAGGAGTACAGTCGCGCCTGGACATTCGCCGGCGTATAGATCCACAGGGCTGGATTGAAGAGGACATGGTCCAGCAGCTGCCACGTGAGAAATGAGAAACAGAACAACTGCGGGGAATTAGTCAAGTAACTTATGCTGTCCTCGTACAACTCGATAGAAGGGTATTTGTGTGTGTGTCGTTGTGTGTGGGTTTTTGCTCGGAAAGGAAGAAGGGTGTGTGTGTGTGTGTGTGTGTGGAAGTAGTGTATATATTTAGTTATAGATTCAAATAGTAAGATAGATAAAGTCAAAAGGGGTTTCAAAAGGGGTTTCAAAGCGTGTAAATATTATTATATAGTATACAAATTTCCAAAAGGGAAATGTATATTTAGTGCAGTAATTTAAATGAGTTTGATTTCGGTATACATACGGTTAAACATGAGTTGGTTTTTGTTTGTTTTTTTTTATTTATTTATTTATTGGTTGTTGTAGTCAGGATTGTTGTTGTTGTTGTTGTAGTTGTTGATATTTTATTGGGGTTTTTGGTTGGTTGGTTGGTTGGTAGTAGTTATTGGGCGGGGAAACCCAACATATAAAACACATGCAGCAAACAGCAAAACGGCATTCAATGTGAAACATAAAATCAAATTCCAACGGAACGAAACGGAATGGAACGAAACGAAATGAAACGAAACGAAACAAATTGCATTCCAGTTTGGTTTAATGAGGATTTCTGTTAGCTTTCAAAAGTTAAAGGGGGAATTTATTTAACACTTAACTAAACTAAATATAAGATAAAACTAAGCTAAGCTAACGTATTTTTTTTAAGTTATGACTAAGTTAGATCTAAAATTTAGTTGAATAAATAACATATAGTAAGTAGTTTGTCTTATGAAATGATGTGGTTTTGATTTTTATATGATAAATCAAGGAGAGTTGGGTTATATTCCTAAAAAGCTAAGCTTTTTGGCATTTAACATTTTTATAAATAAATTTTAGTTATTCCTATAAACCCTCTATATTTTGACTTAAGCCTAGAACTAAGTGCATTTCAGATTTCCAAATGGATTTATGATATCTAAGCACTCAACTTTAAAGCTCAATTAACGCTTATCTGGTAATTGAAACTTCCACTTGGCTTAATTTCGACTTTGAGGAGAGTCACTCAATCTGTGGCATTAAAGTGCACTGAATATACATATATGTTTGTACATACATATGTATATCTGAACATAATCCAGTTGAGGGCAACTTCTGGCTAGTGAAGAGGAGAATTGCAATCCGCTTTAATTTCATTCAGGGGGCCCCCGAAAACAAAACTTGTTAAGCCCTTGCCTCAACTTGTTGGATTGTCAAAACCAATGTTCGCCAATGTTGTTTCCATGGCGTTTCTGGCAACAATGCAACAAGGATTTTACCCAACCCCTAAAAGCATCCCCCCAAAGAAATTTCATACAGAGCAAGAGCAAGAGCCAGAGCCATAGTCAGAGTCACAGCCAGAGCCAGAGAGAAGTTTCCCAATTAAAAAGCTGCTGTGCAACGAATGTTAAAAGAAAAAAATCAAATAAAAATGCAGCACCTTTTGGTGCCACGAAAAATTTCTGTGCTCTGCTTTTCAACTATTTTTTATTGCACTCCAGTTGAAATTTATTCACAAGGGCGAAATGGATACGGATATATATGTATATGTATGTTTCAGGGGGAGATATGCGAGGCGAGCAATTAGGAAGGTGCGATGCGGTGCTGTGAACACAACTTTGGCTTCAATTATCCAAATGACACATTGAACAAATTGAGTGAGGAAACAGCAGGAGGTGGGAATTTCGGGTGGGAAGAGAGAAAACTGGTAAAGGAACAGGGAAAAGCCAAAGGCAAAAAGGCTGAGATTGACACTGGGGGGAGGGGGGGTTTATTTTTCTTTGCCTTTTTCATTGGGTTGAGGTTTCGCTTAAGGTCCCCTCAAAGTTAATAAGATTATGCGGTTTATCGTTGCGGTTTCAGGGACAAACAAAGCGAAGTGGAACGAAATGGAATGAAGAGCGGTACGAGACATGAGTTTATATATATTATATATATATATGTATGGAAATCGATTAAGAACGTTGTGATGATGAGATGAAAAGTTATGTACACAATACACAAAAGTTATGTTCAACAAATTACGCCTAAACACAAAACACACACACAAAAATGAAACGAAACGGTATGGAACAGTGGAACGGAAACGGAAACGGAAACGGAAACGTATATACTGTTATGTTACATTGGATATAGTAGTACGAGTATTTGGAATATATGCAAAGTACAGAGAGTACAGAGAATTCGAGAATTGAGCTTCACCTGGTAGAACTGTTGTTGTTCATGTTGAGATGTTGTTTTTTTTTTTTATATATTTTGATTTTTATAAATTCGGTTGTTGTTGTTGTTGTTGTTGTTGTTAAGATTGTTAATATATATTGTAGTTGTAGTTGTTGTTGTGTATGTGTGTGTGTGTATCAAGATGGGGCGCATTGAATAGTTATCGATAAACGATCACAATTAGCAAGAAGCAGGGGTGTATTTTTTTAATTTTTGGAATTTGAAATGGAGAAGCGCGATCATGAGTGTGGAACGTGTGGAAAAGGGAGTGGAGTTGAAGTGAAAGAGAGACAGGGAGAGAGAGAGAGCGCAGGGGAGAGAGATATAGTATAAATAGTGAGAGAGAGAGAGAGTGAAAGAGAGAGCAGACAAAAGTAGAAGAAGATAGTTAAGTTGTAGTTAATATTTCTTCTTTTTTTGGCATTTCACATTTTTGTCTTGCTGATTCTGGCTAGGGAAAGTATTAATTTTGATTAATCGCATTTAAATTTTCGAGAGAGCAGAAAACGAAGCAAAGCGAAGCTGTTCGGGTGCGGTGCGGTGTGCCCAGGCAGGTGCAAAAGTGCAAAGCGAAACGAAACGGAACGATATGAAACGCAAATGGTATGGCAGCAACTGATCGCAACTCAATGGAACGCAGGAATGGAACTATTTTGCTTTCAGCCAATTTTTTAAGCTTCTCTTTAAGCTTTAAGGACATGCAAAAACGGACATGCAAAAGACTATGGCAAAACAGTGTTAGGAAATTGAAATTAAAACTGATTTTGGTTAACGGAAATTTATATATTCAAATGAAATTATTGTTAAATATCAAGTGAATATATTTCTTAATTGTTTTCATTTTTTTTTTATAAAAAAAATAAATATTTCTTTAATATCTTAGTTTTCACATTTAAAAACTTTCTTAGAAAATTGTAAACAATTAAGAAAAATTAAAAAATATAAACACACTGAGACAAAATAACAATTTTCCTTCTCCCTTATGCTTGCCCAGCTTAAGTAGTAGAACAAACGCCCTCTGTTCCACCTTTAAACTAAGCGGTTTATAGAATTCAATGGGCAACCAATGGGATTTTTATGGCGGAGAAATACATATATATTTTCCGGTTTGCCGGCTGGCAAAAGGCGCAAAACAAACAAAAATACACATACTATATATGTATATATGTATATATGCTGGTATATTAAAATGGAAGGAGTATATACACATGGATATTTATGCGAGTGAGTATATATGAGTACGAGTATATTTGCTTAAGAGATTCTCAAGTGCAGTTACTTATAACGAGAAATGTGAGCAGTTGTTTACGGTTGTGTTTACTTTTTTGAAAGGATTACGCAGGCCTGTGTTCAACTGTGCGCCATCATCATCATCATCATCATTTTAACCATTGTAATCATCATCAACAAAAGGCAAAAACACAGTGAGTGCGATAGATAGAGATAGGATGTATTCATATAAGTATTCATAAGTGTGTGTGTATGTGTGTTTTGTTTGTATTGGTAGAGAGAAATAGAGACAGAGAAAGCAACAAACGAGACGAATTCGCATATCATTTTTGGGATTTCTTCTGGAACTTGCTGTATATTTTTTTGATTTCGCAGAGTTGGGTTAACATGCCACCCGGTTAGCAATCGATGGGGATTATTATCATATAATCAACATATATATAATATATATATTTTTTTTTTCTTTGGTAAACGAACATTTTAAATCAAATGAGAATTATTTTTGTTCATATTTTTGTGGGGTTGTTTGCATGCTAACCACCAACCCCTCAAAAAATCAAACTTAAATCGAACTTAGTTAGTCGCAAATAACGTATAATACATACATATTTCATCACAAAAAAAAAATATATATAGAGTAGAGAACACGGCATGCCAACGACATAGCGCATACGCAGCGTGGTCCGCGATCGAATTTTTTCTTAACGGTAATTACACATAACATATTCTAACATAGGCGCAGGCATAGGTTTTATAATTATATATATTATATAGATATATGTATATATAGGCGAGATGACTTACCTGCTTGAGCAGCAAATCGCTATTGGCCGACAGGCAGGTGACCAGATATTTGGTGAGGTTGAGAAAGGATCCAAGGACCTCCAGTGTTAGATGTTCGCGGGAGGAGCGCTGCAGCATGAACGAGATGACCAGGAAGCCCCGGTTCTGGATCATGTGCTGCTGCACCGTCTGGGAGGTCTCCACCAGTTCGCAAATGAAGCCCAGCAGCTTGGAGCTGTAATGAACAAAAATTTTAGAAAATATTATTAGTTTTTACATAACTAAAAAATTGTATTATTTTATTTAAAATTAAAAATTATATTAGTTTTAATTTCAATTAAAAATTATATGAATTTTAATTATAATAAAAAATTGTATTAATTTTAATTATAATTAAAATTATATTAATTTTGAATATATATGTATTCATAAAAAATTATATTAATTTCAATTAAATTTAGTGAATTTAAAATTATATTAATTTTGAATTTATATTAATTTAAAATTATATTCATTTTAATTATAATTAAAATCATATTCATTTTGAATATAATTAAAATTATTATTACTATTACTATTAATTATAATTATAATTACTATTAATTTTAATTTTATAATGAAAGTTAGTCAGTTACTTATATTAGTTATTATTTATAGCTAAAAAATTTTATTATTATAATTATAATTAAAAATTAAATAAATTTACAATTAAAAAATAAAATAAATTTTAATTATAAATATAAGCATTTTAAATAATAAAGGTAATTATGTTAGTTATTATATATAATTAAAAAATTAAATTATAATAATTATAATTAACAATTAAATTAAATTAATTATAATTATAACTTTTTTATAATTTATAATTTAAAAAAATATATATGCATCTCCAAAAAACTCACCACAACGTGGGATCCCTCTTAATATCCCCTAGGCCCTCGTGGGCCATGTCCAGCTGGGAGAACAGCGGAAATAGCACCTGTATGCCTCCAATCGAGTTCAGGGTGCAGTGTATCGAGTGCGTGACCACGGCCTTCACATCCTGCAATACCAAAATTTCAATTTAATCATGGCCAAGTCGAGTCTGGTTTTTGGTCTGGGCCTGAGTTCTGAGTTCTCGGGGTCCATTAATCGCCCAAGCTGTCATCAGCCACGGGACACGTTCGCCTCCTCTCCTCTCTTATGATTTGTGTGTTGTTTGCACAAGAAATTACTACAAAATTTATTGAATAATTTTCCTGGACCTGGGCACCATCCGGAGAGCAGCCTGCCAGCCTGCCTGCCTTCCGGAGGAAACGGGGCCTCGGACCTTGGCTAATAAGAAATGCCAAGGCATGCGCCAGTGTCGTAAAATTTCTGCATGGAATTTATGCTGCTCGCTGGGACTTGGGCTTAGTTCTTTGCCTCCCTTTTTCTTTTTTTTTCTTGGCATTTTTCACAGAATTGAACTTCACCTCAATGAGAAGAGAACTCACCTGCAACATGAGGGCATGCGGCGTGTGCACGAAATAGGAAACGTTTCCCTTGGGCGACGACTGCAGACACAGTTGACCATCGGTGGCCACCGGATTGTACATAAACACAATGGCATTCGATAGCTTGCCATCGTACAGCACCTGTTGGGATGAAGCCGGAGAGGTGTCTTAGTCAAAGATATATGTATGTATATATGGGTTATGTGGTATATATGTATATATATATAGGCTAACAGAGCACGAGTGAGAGCTGGCAGGGATTAGGCCGGGCTTTTGGCGAGTCATCGAGTGTGGCATCCGGCATCCAGGGATTCTTCCAAGGACCTGGCTTTATCACTGGCTTTGTCTTTAGCTTTTGGCTCACAATAAAAAGTATATATACATGTATAGAAACAAGAAACAGCACAGACACGCACACACACAACAAAGTGACCAGAGGAAAAAGCAAAGTTCGGAAATCTGAGGACTTTAAAGGCCAGCAGAGTCGTTAGTGACTTCATCTTGGGAATGTTAGAACCAGTTGGGAATTATAAGTTCACATCTGTGGCTATTTTTGTTCTACTAATTTTAGGGCAAATTTGCCTTGATTTTTATGATAAATTAACCAGCAAAATAAGAATATTTTTTGAAGAAGGGAACTAAATAAAGTAAATCAGAAAATATTTGAGAAAAATTAGCCCTACAAAATTGTATTGCTTTAAATTCATTAAAACTTTCTTAATTGTAGAAAAATGTTCTTAGTTAAAGGTTAATTTTATTATAAAAATTTTTCTTAAATACATATGTATACAAATATTTGTATGAGTGTAGAAGATAGTAAAACTTTTAAAATATATCTTAAAATGTGTAAAAATTTTTAGTTTTTCTAAACAAAATCTTCACTGAACCAAGCTTAAGCTTAATCTTGTCGTAAATTTACTTTTATAGAGTTCCTACTGGCCTCTTGTGTCCTGCTTAAGTCCTGTGCAAAATTCCTATTAAACTCTCTGCCAGGTCATAACAATTCACACACACACACATTCAAATGTATCAGAATATATATATGTATAAATATATATACAATATACAATATATATACAGGACACGCATCGTTGCATTTCTGCTACTTGTTTCAGGGCAGAATTTCCTCGATTTTCCTCGAGCTTTGAGTTTTCTTCTCCTTCGGTGCATTTTGGCCGTCATAAAAGGCTGTGTATTAAGTGTGTGTATTGTGTGTGTCTGTGTGTGTGCCATACATGTAAGCTGGTGCTTGTGTGTTGGTGGTTTTATAAAAATTATTGCTGCTTTTATTTCTTCTTGTTTCTATTTTGTTTCTTTAATGTTTTTGTTTTCTTTTGTTTTTTGTTGTTGGCGACTGGCTGCATAAATTTTGCTGCTAAAAATACTTCTTTGCGATATTAAAAACAAATAAAATAATTATAAAAAAATCTATAAGCACAAAGTTGATAAAAAATTAGCAATTAATAAAAAAAGAATAATATCAATCAACGATCGTAGGAAAAATACAAATTTATCTAGGAGAAAGAGAGGGAGTTCGTCACGCTGAGAGAGAGAGAGACAAAAGAGATCTCTCTTAAAAGAGAAATAAAGTATTTTAATAAAATTAGATATAAATTAATAACAGACTTTTTTTGAACAAATTATTTTCCTCTAGTTTTGTAGAAAGAGAGACAGAGTTCGTCACGCTGAGAGAGAGAGAGACAGAAGACATCTCTCTCACACTTTAAAAAAAGAAAATGAGAGATAAATAATAATAATAAAAAAAATACCTGGCTTTTTAAAGAAACTTTTTTCCTATAGTTTTACTATCATAAAATTTATAATATAATATATAATAATTATAAAATTATTATATATAATTCTCTCCCTAAAATGCATTCAATATTTTTCGCGTGTATCTAATATTTTCTGGCTATATGCCCTATGTCTTACTAGTTGAATGGCCTTTGTTTGCCGCAACATTTTATTTCGCTTGGCCCACATTTTTCCACCATTTTCTTCTTGGGGATCAGACTTGTGCTCGTAACTTGTGCCCCCGCCGCCTTCCTTTTTAAAAGCGCAATGTTTGTTGTGGAAATGTGAAAATGCGAATGTGAATGTGTGTATGTGTGTGTCGTGTTTTCCCATCCCATTAACTCAACTCCCGATTTGGCACATAAAAACAACATTCAAAATAACTAAAGCACTCACTTTGCCATATAAGACCAGGTGAGAGAGCGAGAGAAGGAGAGAGAGAAATGAGGGGGAGGCACAGAAAAGTGGGCAGACTCTGTCTACACATAATGGCTGTTTCGGGTGTCCTGGAAATGTGGAGCACCATAGCATATAGAAATTTCTCTAGGAATATGGAACATGCGCGGGCAGCAGGCGCCCAAAGACGCTGCCTTTGTCTAGTTCCGCCACCTGCACCTGCACAGGTGGGGGGAAAGTAGGTAGGTAGCTAGGTAGGTAGGTAGGTAAGTGTACACCGTACACGCTACATTTACTTCCCCAATAAACTTCCGCGAAACGACTTTAAGGAGAACGAAGAAAATGTGTGCTCAAAAACCCCAAAAACTGATGCCATCGATTTAATTGCCGACGGTAACTTCTTAATAGCTTTTGCAATAACCTCCTTGGGGGGCTTTGATTTCAACACAGAAATAAATGAATACAAAATATATATCCTCCCGCTCTCTCCCCCCCTCCGCCATAACGGGTGGTAATGAAATTTTAACAAAATAAACTTTCAGCTAACTTCTTAATTGCTTGCACAAAAATTGATGATCTAAAAAGTTTGAAGCTGGAAAACTATATAATTACTTTCCCCGAAAAATATATATAGCAAGGAAAAGAGTTTTGATTTCAAACTGGAAAATATTATTTAAATATAAAAAAAAGCTGGGAACTTTAAGAAAAAAAGAGTGCTTGAGTTTAAGATTTATTTTTAGCAGAGAAATGGCAAAATAATTACAAATAAATTTAAAAATCCTAAAATATGTCAAGTTTGTTAATTGAAATATATATTAAAATTGAAATTTGTAGAAATTATTTAGAAATTAAATTATTATAATTATAAGAAATGAATTATTTAGAATTAATTTGCCTTTCAATTTAAAATATTCTGGAAATGGTATCAAAATTAAGAAAAAATGTTTAAAAAATAAAACTCATAAATTAAAGTGATTTTGTTGATAAAAAAAATCGAAAAAAAATAAAAAGTGAATAATAAATTAATGATTTTCTAGTTAAATATTTTTAAAATATTTTAGCATGAAATTTACAAGTTAAGATTAATGTAAAAAACCTTTTAGCTTTTAAATTTCTTAGATTTTGTTGATTTTGAGCATAAATATATAAAACAAATTTATATTAAACAGAAAAAAATGATTTAATAGTAAAATAATAATATAAAATATATTAATATAAATTAAAGCCTCAAAAATAAATCTTTGAATTAAGCAAGCGATTTTTAAAGTACACTCATACAAATTTTTATCTAAAAACGCCCTAAGAAAGACATTTTCCAAACGTATATTTTTTAGAAATTTAAGAAAAAAATTTGCTTTAAATTAAGATTAAAAAACCTTTTTTAAATCAAGAAATATTCTTCTTGAATGTAGAATATTTTACTAATTTCTAAGGCGAGTTGTTCCAAATATGGGAATATCTATTTTATAGTTATAAAAAATATATAAATTATTCTCCTACAATTAAAAAAGGATTTCTTAATTTTGGGCCCCTTTTCTAAATTTAAAAGCAACTTTTCTTGATTTAAATAATTTGCCTGAGTGTAGAATCCTTTGTTTTAAAACAAAAAACCCTGATATATACACACAAAAGTAAATAAAATTGGTGTTACTTAAAAATTAGCCAAACAAAATAAATAAATAATAGAAATAAATAAAAGTTTGCTTACAGCTTTCAGCTGGTTGACCTCCTCAGTGTCGGCGGTTGCCATCAGGGAGCTCAGATTGCTGGCGCTGGACATGCGACGCAGTTGCTCTGCTTGCCAGACGATAAATGATAATAAAAACAAAATATTTATAAAATTAAAATCAAAAACAAAATTAATTAAATAAAATAATAAACAAAAGATAAATACCGAAAGAAGCATTTCCGGTGGGCAAATGGCCAAGCGGATCGCTGTCGCCCTGTGTTGCATGTGCCTGATGCTGCTGCTGCTGCTGCTGCTGCTGTTGGGTGTCCTCCGTGGAAGGTGTGTGTCCCGTGGGTGTGGCTGCTGCGGCCGGCGTTGCTGTTGCTGCTGCTGCAGCGGCGGCTGCTGCTGCTGCTGCTGCCGTGGCAGCATTACTACTACTATTATTACTGGCCAAAGTCACCGCATTGCGTGCGGTAAGTACCGCTCGAATTTTCACAAAGGCCGCATTCAAATCCAGCCTCTCGTCGGACCAATCGATGGCTCGCGCCTCCTGCTCGGCGGCCAGGATTTGGAATTGCAACTGCAACTGTTGCTGACCAGCGGCGGCAGCTGCTGCTGCTGCCGCATCGCCGGTGCCAGTGCCACTGCCACTCCCAGTGCTGCCGCCCACCACCGGCAAGGATGTTGTGGACGTTGCTGGCAAGAGTTGAAAGTGACTCACCCGCTTGTGATTGTCCGGCAGATTCAGATAGCACTCGTTGTCGAATCGAAACTGCGACTGTTTTTTTTGTTGTTGTTGTTGTTTTTTTTATATAATTTTTTTATGGTGTTTTTGTGTTTTTTTTTTGGTGTTGGATTTTTGGTGCATTTTTGTTTTAATTTTTTTGTTGGTAGTATTTATTTTTTTTAGCGGTGCAGCGGACAGAGAGAGAAAAAAGAGCAAAAAGAAAAGAGAAACGGCAATATATATATATATATATAAAATATGTATAATACGTATAAACAAATCACATTATTTCTGTACAGACAAGGACAAGGTTTTAGCTGCTGCTGCGGCGTTCGGCTGTGCAGATTCGGTGCGCTTTGGTGGTGCTAGGACACCCACTCCACAAACAACATCATACCCCCCAAAAACATAAGCCCGAGAAGCAAGTAGACTTACCTTGTAGCCGGGACCCAGGCGGTGCATCGCGCAAATCTGCTGCGTGGTCAACGCCTCGCTAAACAGGTAAATCGCCGACATTTGGCCGCAGAACACGCGCTCCTCGTCCAACTCGGGCGTGGCTCCTATATAGCACTTGTCAAAGGGCTGTAAAGAAAATCAAAATAAATTTTATAAATATTTTATTTATTCTTAATTAAATGCAAATATAAATATAATTAAATTCAAATACTTACATCGTTTGTGGAAACAAACCAGGCCATTTCCGTGGAGGAGGCCAGCTGTCCATTAACGAGGCACTTGATTTCGCTTTTCGTCCAACGATTGTATATATACACTATGGCAATCATATACCACTGAAAAGTGGGGAATAAAATATATATATGAATATTTTTTTTTATATTTTAATTGATAGACCAATGTCTTACCTTTCGTGGCTGGAATTCGTATTTGACACAATGCTGAAAGCCCTTGCCCTTGACCTTCATGGAGGTGAGAACGAGGCAGTTGCCCACAAAGTGCGCCGTATAGCCTACGCCCTTCGATGTCTTAAAGCTGCAAAGGGGAAACAACAATTTTTAATAAATTAAATGGTTAAATAATTTCACACCCAAAAACGCATTTAAGTCAAAAAAACAACTTTCCAAAGTCTATTACCATATTTTTTTAACTTTTGTTAACTTTTAAAGATGAATTTTTCTTACATTTATAAAGATTTTAACTGAATTAAAAAGAATTTAAGTGACTTTTAGGGTAAGTAACTATGTAATAACACATGTAAATATCACATTTGTTTGTAATAACATAAAAACACAACACAACACGTCTTCAACACTGCATAACCTTTGACCGGCAACCGCGACTTCATTACGGAGATGCTAAAACCAGTTGGGAATTATAGGTGCACATGTGTGGAATTTTTTGGACGACAAATTTTTGGACAAATTCGCCCTAGTTTTTATGATAAATTGACCAGCAAAGCAAGAAAAATGTGCCCTTATTTTAAAAAGAAAGCAAAAGCCTTTAATTTAAAAAAAAAAAAAAGAAAAAAGAATTATAAAAAATTATATTGTCTTGTTTTGAGGAAACCTATTCTTAGTTTTAAATTATAAATTAGATTTTTTTATGACGATTTTTCTTAAATATAAAAAAGTATTTTTAATATTTACTAACAAAAAAAATTAAATAAATATATTACTTAAATATTTATTATAATTGTATTAGAGTTACTCACCAGTAGAGGTAGGGCTTCTCCCGTTCAATATTCACCGAGTTAATGGGATCCAGGCGGAACCAGGTGGTGAAGGTGAACCCATTCTCGTAGGGCCACTTGGCCAAAGGCGGCAGGACCATGGCCTAAAAGAGAAAATCAAGCCAAGAATCAATTAGTTTAAATTTGAGTTGAATTTTGCTGTATATATATACATATATATCAATTATGAAAACATTTCGTGGGCAATTTGATTTTCTTTGACTTGTAAAAGAGACCCTCAGGGAAAACCGCAGTTTTCTATACTCTAAACAAACGGAATAAATCACAGGAAATATACTTTTGAATGAGCTGAAAGGGAGAGGAGGAGGGAGAGTAAAAACTTGTGGCATTCCACACTTTGCAAAACTACACACGAATGAATGTATTTCCTGTGGCACACAACCTCAAAGCCATTCCAGAAATTCAAGAAGGAAGCCCAGGCCGCAACAGGAATGGACAGAGAATTAAAAGGAAATGAGCACATTTGATTTATCATCAGTATGCTATATATATATGTATATATATATTTGTATACTCTAAGCCAACTAATGGTATTTGCTGGCATTCAGTTCATAAATTCCATTCCAGCTGTTGGTAAAATGTATGACAATGCAGCACATTATTATTATTTCTTTGAAAATCCAACAGACATTATCCGCTTGAGGCATCTCAGGTAAATCATCTTCATAACTATTTATGCATCTGATGGCCTCAGACAAAGCAGCAGCAGTGCCACTTATCTTTCATCACAGAGAGAGAGTCAACATTTTGGTATTCTGTTGTCACAATGTCATTTACAATTTGGCTTTAGTAATTTTTTGATTGACTTTAATTAATTCGTTGTGGCTTCAAGTTAAACTGAAGACTTATTAATTGCAATTTATTTAATTTTTGCCTCGATTTGAAAGCCAATGTGCATCTATTATCATTTGATTTATTATATTTCATTAATAAACAAATTATTTAAAGCTATATTTCTGTGATTAATGGCCATCATTTAAGCAAGACTCGCTCTCCCATTTGCTTTTGTATGATTTATTTATATTTATTATTTGCCTGGTTATTTAATCATCTATTTACTCTTGAGCTTTGTTCGACTCTTTGAACCTCTCACGCTCTCTCTCTCTCTCAAAGATCAAATTTCATTTACTTTGCACTTATCCTGCGGCCTGCCATTCTTCAAGGGGGACAATAGGGGCACCCGGAGAAACCCGAGAAAAACCCGGCTAAATGGGTTAAGGCCAGGCGGACGTGACAAAGGCTGACACTGTTGGAGAGTTTTGCTGCGGTTGCAGCAACTTTGCACTCACTGCCACAGCCCGCAGCCACTGGTCCCGCCATGTCACGCCTCCATTTTTGCCCAGTTTTTGATTTTCCATACACTGAGACAAATATAAGTGCTTAAGGTAAACAAAAAGAGATTTAAGAAAAAAAAAAAAAGAGTAAAATAGCAAAGAATTTAAATTGCTATAAAAAATGTACACCCATAACTTTCAACAACTTTTATAAATTTACACCAACGGCTTTTAAGAAATATTTTCCAATAATTCCAATAAAAAATAAATTATATTTTTTTTTTTAGAAATTTTTGGTTTTAAAATATACCTTGAAAAAGCATTGAAGATTTTAAATTGGTATAAAAAATTTACGCCAACACATTTTCTAAATATACACCAACGGCTTTCAACAAATATTCCAACGAATAATACATTTTTTATTATTTTATGTTTTTGTAATCATATTAAAAATAGTATTCAATTTCAAATAATTTTTATCTTTTATTAACAAAAATCCCTCAATATATGTTCTCTTTCTCTCTGTGCCTTTTCCTTCTTCCTGTGACATCAATTCGGATAGAAATTGGGGGAAATGGAGGAAACTGAAATGGTGCCCTGGTGATTTTGGGTTTTGGCTTTCCGAAAATCTCATTATTCGAATCGAATCCCGTCCTGTTGCAATCAGCGCCATCAATGACATTAGGCGTGCTTGTGGATCGCTGATCGCCGGTTAAATGGGCGGTGGATGGGATGGGATTTTCACACACAAAAAAAAAAAAAAAAAAGAGAGGAGAGGAGTAATAGTGTCGCCTAAAAGCTGGCTAAACGAAAATTAAAAAGAGGCCAAATGCGTGAAAAATCGGCGCACGACTGGAAAGAGGGAATGCGACAATGATGATGATGATGATGGTGATGGTTAGATTCGAGGATGTGGAGGATATTTCATGGGTGTGTTTTTTCGTGGGGGGTTGGTTGTTCCTCCTCCTCCACGATAGCGCGCCTTTTTATTGGACCATGTTCCCATTTGACTTCCAATTCACTTTATGGCATTTTTTATGCGTTTATGGGGCGATGGACACATCGATAGAGTGGACTGGTCAAACACACTCACACCCCAGGACACCACCCTGCGCACATTTCGAATTCGTTTTGAGTGCGATGCAATAAAATAAAAGCCCCCGGAAATGTCCATGGGTACACACACCCCTGGAGACCTCATTCTAGGCTTACTATAACATATATAGTATATATATGTGTGTGTTTCTATGCCTGTGGGCCTTTGTTCCTGCCAGTTGCATTCAATAAAAAAATGCAAGCGACACAAAAGATATTGCCTGGCCTAAACTAGAATTCAATTCAACAAAAAAAAATATCAGCTGGCTAGCACACACATTTCATATTTAGTATTTAGTTGGGACAGGAAACAGGCATTTCATGGAAAGTTTTACAATGATAAGAGAATACAAAAAGGGATAAAATATGGGATTTATAAATTTTTAAATGGGAAATGAAAAATATTACAAAATTTAAAAGAATTCCCATATTTTGTTGTTGAAACCCGTTCATCTACTAGGATCTCTTGCATTTAACCTATGGAGGTATATATGGCATTTCACATTAGTTTGCCACTTACCGATCCCTTGCGACCCGGAAAACTAAAGAAGACATCCGGCCCGTTGCGGTGGGGCATCTGCCGTAGGACATTCAGGAGCTTGGCCGAGTGCCGTGGCCATTTGCCATTGTTGGCCTTCATTGTGCCAAAGAGCAGCTTCAGCTCCTTTACCGTTATGCTGTAGCTGGCCAGCACGCCCAGCATTTCGATGAGCAGATCTGTAGATTAAAAATAAATAAATATATAATAAATATATTTTAATTAAATTTAATTTAATTCAAAATTCAAAATAGCTCAAAAACACTCATTAATTTTCCCAAAATTAGGCTGTTGAATTTATTTATAGTTTTGATATGCAAGTCTAAGGCCAAACATAAGCCGCATGTCCAAGCCACTAAGTGTTGAGTGTGTGTGTGTTTCGAGATGGCCTAAAGGATATGCACAAATGCTGCTGACAGCCTCCGTGTTTGTGGCAACAATCAAGTTCCCGTTTTAGCTCAGGTGGCGGCAAGCGGCAGGCGGCCAAAGACCAAATGCAAATCCTAAATGCTAAATGCAAATGCAAGCTGATGCAGATGCAGATGCAGATGCGAAAACCAAATGCAAAGTCCTCGCGCTCACCCAAGTGGCAAGGACACGCGCTCTCACAGAGCCGAGGGGCGTAACGCTAAGAGAAGGGCGGCGGGCGGTGGCTTGGGGTCGGTTGAGTGGGCGTGGTCGCGGCAAGGCCATACGCTATATTGCATTTGATCTAGCACTGTCATTGCCAGACGCGAATGGTATTCCAATTTAAAAGGAAGGTCAAGAAGGGTAACGGAAAGTTGCCAGATGGGCTTTAAAGAAGAAAATGAAGAAGTGCCAGAAGAGCTTTAAACAAGTGCACAAACCTAGGGCAATTTTTCTAGATTTAAGACAAAATTGAGTTACTTTTACCCCAAAAGTACCAATGTACCTATGTAATAGCACATCTAATATCACATATGTATGTAATAACACCAACACACAACACCACACGTGTTTACCACTGCTTAACCTTTGACCGGCAACCGCGACTTCATTACGGAGATGCTAAAACCAGTTGGGAATTATAAGTGCACATGTGTGGAATTTTTTTCGATATGATAATTTTAGGGTAAATTAATGGTTTTTATGATAAATTGACCTGCAAAACAAGTGGAATTCGCCCATATTTTGTAAAGGGAACTAAATGAAGCCAACCAGAAAAGAATTAATTATTATTATTAATTTTTTTCTTTTAATTAATTATTATTATTAATTTTATTTACAATGTAACCTATCCGGATTTCATGCTGCTTTGCCTTAAGTCCATGGAAACGTTTGCGTAATTTTAGAAAAGTTTGCCTAGTTTAGGGAGACTTTTTTAGATACATTTTTTTTAAATATAAAAAAATATACTTCTTTTTGTTGCCACTTGAGCTGAATCATTAGAGTTATTCACATTTACTTTTTGATATGAATAAGCACTTGCAACTCCATTTAAAAATATTTTTAATTTACACTTGAAACTTGTTCTTTAACTATTTTGTACTAGTTTTCAAAGTTTATTAAAATTCCTATCAAAAACAACAAATATTTCATCGCTTTCAAATGGTAAACAAGTGGCCCAAGAATATTATTTAATAGCAAAGCATTAAGGACATTCCATCAGGCAAACTTTCAAGTTACCTTCGAGAGCAACATAGCGCATATATAATTCAAGAAATTTTAATAGCCACAGTATAAAAGTTTTTGGCCAAGAGCCACATATACATATATATATAAATATTTAGCCATCTCAGTCTTTAATAACACAGCCAAGATGATGACTCTTTGGTAAGTTTTAACCCCTCCCCGTTGAAGCTCTTGCATTTTCAATCAAGTTTAGCCAAAAGCTTGGCCAAATAGTTATTAATTCTGGAGTTCAAACTGATTGCCTCCGTCGCCCTTCCTCTCTCTCTCTCTCTCTCCCTCTTTTTCTCTGTGCCTCTCTCTCTGCCTCCCTCTTACTCTGTCTCTGTTGCTTGGGCCCCCCTTGGGTGCCATGGGCGGAGGGCGTAGTCGTCGTCGTCGTTGTCGTCTGCTTGCGCTATTCCCAAACTTCATTTGTAATGCACACTAATTGAAATGGGACGCTCGGGCCGTTTTAATGCCTGGCCTGTTGGTTCACCTTTCCATTTCCCATTAGCCCACCAACCATTCCATTCACCCCTTTTCACCTCACTTAGCCCCCCTTGACCCCTTCTCCAATGCATACATACAGTATTTCACACGGAAAATATATTTAAAAAAGTCTTAAAATATTGAATAAGAGTTTAATTTGTCTTCTTAAAGTGTTTTAAGAGGCTTTTAATATTTGTAATTCCAAAAAAAAAGTTATATAATTTATTTTTATCTATTTGTGTGTTTTAATTTTTTTTTTTTATTTTTAATAATAATAATTATAATAATAATACTTAAGTATTTTATTTTACTTAAATTTAAAAATAAATATTGTATTTAACCAACAAATTCTATAACTTTTTTGTATCTCTGTTTCTTTTTTCTGTATTTAAAAAAAAACAAAGAAAAGTACTCTAGATCTGTGAGCTGGAGATGCCTGGCTTATTGCATTAACAATTTATTTATATTTTTTGTTAGTGTCTTAATAGTATTTCATTTCATTTGAATATTCATTATATTTTTAGTATAATGTAATTAAAACGTTCAAAATTCAATTCTAGCTTCAGCCAGAACTATTTTTTCTCACAGTGCACACACACCATCAACACGTTTCGGGTTGCGTGAATTAAGAAATTGAGTAACTGGCAGCAGAGCCTCCCAACCTTTGGGCCACTGGTTGACCCAAGTTTGGTAGTCGCCCCTGAAACCCCCTATATGCCCCAGCATTCCCGGCGGCATTCCCAAGACGACAATGTTGCCCAGTTTGCTGTTTCAGCCTCCCCAGTTGCTGTTCAGTGACGCTTTTGCCGGCTTTTCTCCACTTTTCCGCACGCTTTTCCCTCGCCACAGCAGCAGCAGCATCATCAGCATTTAATTACATTTTCTTTGGCATGCCAAAGTTTTTACTGCCCCAACTCATCATCATCAGCAGGATGTATATATATCATACTACTATATAGAGATCTATATATATGTCTGATGTATATATATGTATAGAGCAAGAGAGAAATAAGTGAGAGCGTTTAGCGCAACAATTTCTCTTATCAAAATTTTTGCGATTGCATTGCGGACATTTTAGGCACTTTAAGTTGCCAACCAGGAAAGTAGGCAATTTCTTTCAGGAGGAAGAGAGAGAGAGGAAGATAAAAAGAGAGAGAGAGAGAGTGAGTAAGGGAATCCTAGAAGTTGCCACTCTAAGCTCAACTTTGGCCAAGACAACGAACTTTTAACTTATCTAATTTCTTGGCAAGTGTCACGTTTCGGCATTTGTCAGGTGACACAGACACACACGACACGAGAAAATAAGCGGGGAGTGTATTATATGTTACAGACAGACATCTACTAATGTACAGAGAAAGAAATAATTATAGTAATATAATATAAAATAAAAATGCTTGAGAAAGATATCTTCAGATTTACAGTGAAAGAAATATAAATTCATATTTTAGAATTATAGAAAATTATGCTTAAAAAATATATAATTATATAATGTAAAAAATTATATAATGTAAAAAAATAATAATAATATATAAAATAAAATATATATAATTGCATACTTTTAGACACCTTTTTAAGAGTTTTAAAAACCATATTGATTTTTGGAGTACCTTAAATATTACCAAGGGGTTTGAAATCAATTGAAAATATATCCATAATTTTAATATAATATTAAATATTTTATATATATCATATATAAAAAGATATACCTTTATTTTTTCCAATTTTAAATTATTATTGCATACTTTTAGACATCGTTTCTAAAGGATTTTAAACGATTCCAAAACCCTTGAAGTTCTTTCATTAATTTCTTTTTACTTTTGTTTGCTTTAGTGTAAGTATAAAATTATGTCTTTGTTTGGAGTCTTCTTTTTTTTTTTTTTTTTTTCTTTTTCTGAACTCCCTTCCCTCCTACCCCCACCACTCTTACCCCCCTTGGCAAGTTTCACGCATACACACGCAGAGCTCAAAAGTCAGCGACTGCAAATTGACAGCAGTTACAGTTCGTTAAATGCGGAATGAAGAAGAAGCTAAAGAAGCTGGAAAAGATATGTGTGTGAAAGGTGTGGTGGTGGGTAGGTGGGTAGGTGGGTGGTAAGGAGCCGGGGTCTGGGGTTAGAAGGGCTTGTGGGTTGTGGGTTACGGAGTTGGTGCTTGGCGGTGGAGACCACAGATGTGTCATTGACTTAATAAAATCAAAATCAAAGCCAAAGGCACGCACATGCTTAAAGCATCGTGGTTCTGTGTGCGTTGTCCTCCATTGGGGGAGGGGAGGTATGGAAAAAACAGTTGTGGTCAAAAGTATAGGTACTGCTGAAGAGTGAAGATATTTTTTGGGAATTTTTAAAGTTTTTTTTTAAAGGTTTACGGGTCTGTTTTTGCTTTAATATAATATATATATATATTTATTTAAATTTATATAAATATATAATCAAAAAATATATAATAAAATATAAATAAATAAGTATATATTATTATTAAATACATAAATTCCTATTATTTTGACCACATCTGTTAGGTTTGGGTGGTGCCTGGTCCGCTAATGAAGAGCAAATTTGCTGCCGAGCTGCTCTTTCTCTCACATCCCGCAAATTTTCCTGGATTTTCTACACACACACACACACACACTCGTATAGCATAGCCCTTGGGGGTGGCAACTCGGTCTCGGTGGTTTCTCGTTTTTTCCCCCAAACTGGGCGTGTCAGTGCTGCTGACAAGCGTGAAATTAATCGAGAGGCAATTTGGCGGACCAGCCAGACGCCGCCAAAAACCAAAGAAACCCGAAACGTAGCCCCCTGGTTTACACCCCTCCCCTACCCCCAGTATCCATTCAAGCCAAAATTCAAACAATAGAAAAGGCGGAATATTTTCGGTTACTGGAGGTTCTGTGGAAACTCAATTGTTCTGGCCAAACTCCATAAAGCTTCACCTGAATTATGATTAAAAACGTAACGATCCATCCCCCCTAACTTTGCACGATTTTCTAAAATATATATATTTCACACACAATCAAGCGAAAATATATACGCTTTCGGGCATTTCATTTGTGTGTTTTTCAGTTTAATTTCTGTTTGTGAAGTCAACTTGCACAGTTTTCAGAATGAAAATATGTTGGGAATGCATAAAGACATTTTACCCTTTTGACTTTAATTGGATTTAGATTTGGAAATAATTTGTAAAGGTTAAAGTTTTTAGTTTATAAATATTTTTAGGTGCTACAACCTTATAAAAATATAAATAAAAACTATAGAGTCAAGTTTCTTTAGTATAAAAAGTAACAAAATTGTTATATATTTATATTAAAATTATATTTTATGGTATAAAATATATTTGTAAATATTTCAAATATTTTACATACCTGCCACAACCGTTTCGGAGCGCTGCAGGCGGACCAGAACATGCTCAATGAGGCCAACATCTGTGCAGGCCTGTAGATTGCGGACGCTTTTGCGCAGAATTGCAATGAAGACGCTCCAAATCTCCGCCTGCAAATATAAAGGGAGATTTTTGTTTGTTTATTTTTATTTTTTTTTTGTTTTTATTAATATAAAGATATCAAAATCTTTTGGGAAAAACTTGAGTAGAAATGTGTGTGTGTATATATATTACGAAATCAAAGTATCAAGTACTGTGATGTTGCTTGCCTTTGGCCCCAGCTCAATAAGCAAAAGTGAAGTGGCTTCGAGTTGCACTGGGAAAAATCGTTTATAAAAAATATATATGTAGATAAATATAAAAATTTAGCAAACCTATAAAAAATTACATGAAATCGATTTTTCTCTTTATTTTAATTAAATTAAAATTAAAAAACAATATATATTTTTTTAAATAATTTCAATATTTAATAAAATTTGTTTTACATAATTTTAAATATTTAATAAAATGTATTTTAATATTTATTATTATTTATTTAATTTATAGTTATACAAAAAATAACTTTAAATAATCTAAAAATATTTAATTAAATTGATTTTAATATTTTCTGAAATTGTTCTCTGTTTACGCACACAAACAATCGCAGGAAGTAAAAGCAAAGGACCAAAAATAAGCAGCTCACGCGCCCGAAAGTATGCAGCACTTATCTGCGGCTTCTCTCTCAAGTGTGTGTGCGTGTGTGGCTGAGTGTGTATTGTGTGTGCGTGTATGCCTAATGTAAACAGTCATTGAAATAAAGTAAAATAATGGAAAGTAATGGCAAAATAATCGCAAACCAAGACAGAGTTTTCTCTGCCTTCTTTCTCCCTTCTTCCTTTTTTTCCACCATTATTGCCTCAATTCTGGAGAACAAAAACAAAGCGTTTGACGGTTTTTTATGATTATTGCCTTTTGGTACACACACACACACACAGAGTGTACACACACATCTACAGATACATTTACAAAGAGACTGAGAAGATTGCACATTGATTGGCAATTGCAGGAAAAGCAAAGCGAATGTCGTGTTGAATATACATTTCTGTATTTCAGTCACTCTCTCTCAGTTGTTATTTTCTTTTTTCTTTTATTTTCTTCTTCTTTTTTTCGTTTATTTCCACAATTTCGATAATGAGAAAAACAAAATTGAACGCATTTTTCATGGAAACAAAAGGAAAAAATAAAAAAAAGCGAATATGAGAAGATTATGGCTTAAGTGTTGGGTTTTATTTTCAACTGATTAAAGTAGATTAAAGCTTTAATTAAATGAATAATTAGAGGAAATTATATTTATTTAAGTTTAAAAATATAAATATTTAATTTACAATATTTCTTTATAAATTGATTAACTTTGAAAATATTTTTTGATATAATTTAATATATTTTTTAATATATAAAAATATTTAATTTGGAATAAATATATTTTTAAAATTTTTATTTTAAATAGTAAAATTTATACAATTAAACGTAATAATCAAATTAACAAATAATTGCTGAAATAATATATTAAAAGTAGGATTTATATTTATTTAGAGAAGCTTAATAGCTTTATGGTAAATATTTTCAAATATTTTATTTATAATATTTTTATACAAAATAATCATCTTTAAACATAATTTTTAAATAATTTATGATATTAAAATATTTAATTTTATAAGCTCTTGATTAAATAATCAACATTAAATATAAATTCTTATAAAATTTAATGTGTTTTGATATGTGATTTTCAGCTTTAAGAATTTTAAGGGATTTTTTTAAAAATGTTCTTTAAATTAAACCTTTTTCCTGGCTTATTTTATTTTCTGTTTTTTTTTTTCGCCTTGATTATCCTTGTGCCTATTTTTTTTTGTTATCAGCTGTTCTGCTCGTTTTACGCTTCATTTACCGCTGTTTCCTCTTTTTGCTCTTTTTTAGCCTCCAGTTATTTTATATTTATTTTTTTTTCAAGGCATTTCTTCCTGTTTTTGTTTTTTTAATGTACTGCACGCATAATTTAATTCGTCGAATCATAAATTTCCAAGAAAAGTTCATGGCTCTGGGTGTACTTTTCCCCCAAACGATTTTTTTCATGATTTTCCTCAGAGGATTCCGGTGATTCACACCTGAGACTCCTGGGTTGTGAGAGCTAAAATCGGCTTTTGGGTATACAAAATGGTACTTTATATATATATACACTTGTTGTATATATATATATAATATACATATATATACTTATAACTTTTTGTGGCTTTTGCTTTGTTTTTGTGTTGAAATTGAAGATTTACAAAGCTGCACCACAGGGCCACTTATTACCCTTGGTTTTTGCTGTCGGTTTTCTTTTGCATTCCTTTGCAGCTCTTCCTACTTTTCCTGTCTTTACTTATTTATTTCACTTTTTCGGTTGGTTTTATTCTCTCGTTTTTGTGGAATTTTCCAGCTCTGTGACTTTGGTCAACAGGAATAGTAGTTTGTTGGCCCAAAAAACTCATTTATTACTGTTTGTTTAACAATGGAAATGAAGTTTTGTGGCCAAAGGGAACTCCTCTTCTTTGCCAGTAATAAGATTTTGAGAATTTTACTTGGGTTTTAAATTTGTTTATGGTTATATTATATTTTAAATTCAATGAAATTAATTCAAAGTTAAGTTTAAAACTGGAAAATTCATTTTAATAGAATTATAAATGGTGAGAATTTATTAAATAATTAAGAAATTATGCTAAAAAATCTTTAGATATTTGTTAAGTTTGTTTTTTTGCTATTTATTTTTAAAATTTTTCTTTTTTTAAGTTTCTTTAACTTTTGTTTCTTCATTTTTGTATCAATTAATATGAAAAACTTGATTTGACGCCATGGCATTTTGTTTTTACAGCTTCATTTTCTTGATAAGCGCCAAAAGTGGGATTTTTCCAGCAGGCGCAGTCAACTTCCCCCTTAATATTTTTTGCCTTTCCTTCTACCAAATCCCCTTGAACAATTTAAGAAGAGTGAGAGGGAGAGGGGTAGTAGAGAGAGAAAGAGAGAGATAGCACAGAGATGAAGATAAAGAAAAAATTAAATAATAAGAGTAGAAACTTCAGTCAGATTTTATTACGTAATTGGGTAGCAATTTCTTCATGGCACAACGGGCCCAAAGTTGCCACAGCCACTGAGCACAAATTAAATTTGGCCTTTTCTACACGCCACCCCCTCCCCCTCCCCCTCCCCCTTCTTTCTTTTTTTTTATATCTGCTTCGCCGCCCTTAAGTATGCGGCAGCTTCTTTGAGCCGAGATTTCCCCGACTTTTCCTCTTATTTTCTTGATTTTTTTTACTATGGAACGCAGTGGAGCATTTTGCAGCTTGTTGTTTTTGTATTTGTTGCCGCGCTTGTTGCTCTTGTTTTTTTTTTTTTTTTTTTTATGTTTACCTTCCCCCTTCCCCTACTCAAATTTTTTGTTGTAAGAAACAAGGAGCTTCCCGTTGGCCAGGTTAAATTGAGCATCGCTTGTCCACCGACGGCCCACGGTCAAAGGCCAAATGAAAGAAAATTAAAAATTAAGTGCAAAGTTTGCCAAAGATTTTTGTGTCAGGCAAAAGGTAGGTGGGTGGGTGTGTTGGGGGTGGTGTGGAAAATGGGGAAAAGTACCTATAAAGCTGGCCGACAGAAAAAGATAAAATTTATGCAATGGCAAAAGTTTAATTGCCCAAACGTTGGTTGGTTTATTTATAGGGACACAATAAACAATAATTAAGGATTCTATTTAATTTATTTAATTTATATTTTAATAAAATTTTTATTTTATTTTTTTTTATTAATTTTTTGTATGTAGAATAATATTTGATTTGTAATAATATAAATATGTGGTGTTTTAAAATAAATCAAATATTATTTAAAATTTATAAAATTAAAAAAAATGCAATTAATGAAAATATAACTATTTAATAAACAGAAATTGTCTAAATTGTTTATTAAAAGTTTATAAAAAAAGGCATAAAATAAAATAAAGTTAAATAAGCTTGATATTAATTTTATAATTTAAATTTGGAGGTAAAAAAAATTAAAAGTAGCAAAAATAAAGAAATAATCATTTTTCTTTATAAAAAAAAACAATTTACACTTAATTCCGTATAAAAAAATTACATTGCATATTTAAAAAATATTGGTAATTATTATTTTTGTACATATTTACTATAATTTTTCTTGCAGTGCAATAGGAAACTCAATGTGTGTGATATCATGCAATTTATTTGCAATTTACGGCCCCCATCTTCCACATGGAGACAATTTTCTTTTTCTCCCCTTATATTCCTTTTTTCTTCCTTTTGTTTTGCACTCATTTTCCACTTTATCAGCGATTTGTGTGTGTCTTCTTCCCTCTCTCTCTCTCTCTCTCTTTCTCTCTGACCTTCTCCCTCTCTGTCTTGCAGTCAAATCGTTTCGTTTCAATAGAATTTCAATAAATTTATCAACGAGTCGCCCGCTGAGTTGTCCTTTCCCTCGTCCTGGTTGCCATTTTCATCTGCATCTGCATCTCCATCATGCTGCCATGGATCTGCTTTTCTTCCCGCTTTCCCCCCGTCCTCTCCCTCTCTCTCCCTCTCTCTTAGCATTTTCCATTTACCATTTGCATCCGCCGTCTGCTCGAACGTCTGCGATTTTTCCTTTTGGCCCGTCGGAGCAGAAACGGGCAATCGGTCGTATACTTTATCTGGCGACAGCGCATCGTTTGCATGCCTGCAGTGCGAGCTTTTCCTTCCCTTTCTGGCTTTCTTCTTGATTCGGGGGGGGAGGTGGGAGTGGGAAGGAGAAAGACACACTTGGGGAAAAATAGTAGAAACTGAGGAATATTCTTGACTGTATAGAAAGCTGTTTATGTCTAAAGTTTGCAATTGATTTAATAAAAAAAAAAGATTTAAAAAAATTAAAAAAAAAAAACATCAAAAGGATAATTAAGATTTAAATATTTATTTATATTTTATTATATGATAATCACAATTTAAAAATATTATAACTACACCTAAAAAGGTTAACAATTCTGCATTCAAAATTAAAATGAATTAAAACGTTTAAGACATCAAATTTTTTGTTTTTATTTATTTTAAAATATATTTAT